AACATATATTATATTTTTTGCTATTTACCTTTACGTACTGAATGATCCTAGAATAAGGCATTAAATCAAAACTAAGATATACAAATACCAAAAGATTTGTTTCTGTTTTATTAATGATACGAAAATTGGTTCATGCACATGTATTTCTTCCCTATAGATTTCCTTTGTTTTGATACAAGTATATAACTGTTTTAAATTACTATTGGTGGTGCATAAAGGATCCATGTAGGATATTTAAGCATTTGACGAAACAGAACTACTTGGCGCGAAACTTCGTTGCTTGGGTCCCGTTGGGTAGGGGTCGGGTCAACTCAATATGACTTTATATATGTTGTTGACTTTTGGTTTTGGAGAATGAGCAAATATATATTTTTCCTTAAAGATACGAATTCTGTTAAATTTTATTTAATATTTACTTCATAAGAGTCTTTTGATTACATCTTATTCGAGTTTTCTTTTTCTGCATGTGTTCGTCACATACAAAGTCTGGACCAACCAGCAAATCCGATCGATCCGATCCCTCGGTTACATGCTAAGATATTGTCATAAAACACACGTTCTTTGAATGTATATTGAGCGTATGGTCGTTTTATTTGAAAAATGAACAGTGAATAAACAAATATTTATTAAAAAGAATACACTATATATGTTTTGTTTTCCAATATTGCAATCGAATTCTAAAATTTCGAAAATAACATAAAGTCTTAGATTTAGCTAGGAAGGGTCTACTAATTAGCAGTTTAGGAATTGGTCTTATTCTTAATGTTAATGATTAATAACTTTTACAGAATTTAGCTAATATGAAGTCATGAAACCTCCCCAAGCCTACACCTTGTTGTATTTTTTTCAACTTTTACAAACTATTGGTATTTTTAACTACTAATTATTCGTGTAGTATTTTTGGGTATTTCTCTAAAAAACATTTATATATAAATAGTGAGAGAATAACACGGAACTATATAATAAACTGGTTGAGTTATTTATTGAAAACAAAAAGTGTCGAATAATCAAAATAATAGTTACATTTAAATTAGAAAACAAAATTCATATATTGGTCCCTCTCATACTCTAAGAAGTATGACAAAGTTACCCCTTTATTAAAATTTTAAAATTCGAACTATGTGTCCTTGTCATTAGGAAACAAAGTAAGCAAGATAAAATGTTATTATAAGATAAACTGCGACTCGACGAATCCTCCCAAATGTATTAACTAAGATTTAGTTTCATCCATGCATTCCAGTTGTTGATGACAAAAATAATACGTAGTTAAGATTAATACAGCGTGCAAGAGATCTCGATTTAATATGAAGAATATTTTCATATGATATTTTTCGGAGATTCTATGAGTTTAATAATTCTACAATAGTTCCAAGTAATGAGATATATATTTATCAACATATTTTCCAGATATTTCTGAATATCAACATATTTTCTATTTATAAATTCAGCAAAAAAAAAAACAACATATTTTTTCCATTTATTAGTTAAGCTGAACCTGAATCTAATAAAGATTTTTTAGTCTAGAATAGAGTTGGACATTTTAGCAAAGCTTTTCTATATTTTTGTAGAATTATTTAGACTTTAAGAAAAAAAAATTCCAAAAAAAAAGATCGGATATTCTATGAAAGTCAATCGACGACATCTTGTACATTGGTTAGTTTTATGATATCCACGTCACATCAGTTTACGTCTATGTATGGGCACGTAGCTAGCTAAACTATTGGACGTAAGATAAAGGCATAACGTGCCCCTTCATTTTAAAATTTATTTTCTATTAGAGCGAAAAGTTCCAAGAGTTCTCGACATCTTCCCGAATCATGACTAATTTTACTATTCACCGTAAATCGTAAATTTGAAAGTTTTGTTCGTAGGTGAGTACTACTAATGCTGGATAGTGCGTCTTGATTATAATTACTTGTAGTCAATTTGTTGAATTGAAGTTCGCATCATTGATGATGATGGACTGAAAAATCACATATTTATAAACATCGACCGACTTAATGATTGTTTAGTGTTTATCGGTAACGGATTATAAGTTTTGTAAACTCGAGAAAGTAAGTCTCAAACATACCCCTATATGTAACATGCACTACAAGAATTAGTAAGCATAGTGTATACAGTTTATATGTGCAATAAACTGGATCTATTTTTCTCAAAACATTGCTAGCTAGAGTTGAGATTATCATATTTTGCTGTGAAGCCATTTTCTAGCATTTGAGTTTTAATATCCAATTAAGTTACACTTCCGTTGTTATGAAATTAGTAATAGAAAATTTAATGTAATTATCTACGTTAGCAAACTAATTTTTTCATCAGATTTAGTCCTAATTTATTTTAACCGGAGTGTTTGTTTTCGAGATAGTAACTTTAATGCAAGAAACTGAAGATAAGTAAAAAAAAAATATATCAACAACAAATCATACGAATTTAAACGTAGTGACAACTAGATGAAATAAATAATGTTGGAGACGAGAAACTAAGAGGATTAATTTATTAAAATTTTGAAATAGTTACATGAGTTGGCAAAAACAAGTAACTAGATTGTTCAAAAAATAAAAATAAAATAAAAATAAGTAGAAGACAGTTGGTAAAACTCGCGGAAAAACAAGGAGTTGCTATGGACGACCGGGCTTCGAAGTCAAAGACAAAAATTAATTATATAGTTGTATTAATAGATAGTTAAAATTGAAAAATATATTCATAGAAAAAAGTATATATACTAGTCTGCATGCATTCCGTCGTTTTCTTCTCCATTCGCTGCATTGGTTTTGTAGGCCACGTCAGGCTCTCTATTCTATTCTTTGTATCATCTTTCCATCGCATTAAATTCTAGTTTTTTCAACGAAAATTTTTGTTCTTTATTTGTTGGGAAAAGGTTACAGCTATAATATATGGTTTTTATTTTAGGAATTTTTTTTTTTTGTGAAAGGCAGAAATAAATGAAAGAGTAGGTATCAGGATTATATGCACAATGTGACTTAGCAGCCTTCAATTTAGGGAAAAAATAATCCGTGGACCTTTCCAAGTCCTGTCTAATAAAAATTGCCTAAGTCAAAAGTTTAAATCGTAGTATAATTTTAATTATTATGTATAAAGTCAACTAATATAAAACTTATACGAGCTAAGGACACATATTGCTGACGACCAGTTGCATCCGCAACGTTACTCGAACTATATAATAAAAGTGACAAGACACGAAACCAACAAAATTCATGTTATAAACTTTGCTTTCAGCTGGTGCGATCTTAGATAAATGATACTTGGCTGTCAAAATTTAATAATTTAACGTAAAGATACTGAAAATTCTTTAACGGTAGACTATATACTATACTCTATACACTGAAAAGTTGCAATTTTTTTAATGGATTCATTCAACAATGATCGGTTTAGTTATTGAAATATTAAATCAGAGAAAGTCATAATATTGGTGCATTTGATATATTGCGAACATCTGTGCTTCTCATAGCATGCATTTTTTCTTAGCTGTCTTTTCTTTATTTAAAGTCAAGATATGTTATGTGCAGTTTCATCTGTACACTAATGTGGAATCTTGTTTTCGGTAAGAAAAGAAAATTTTCAAGATAACACATTTTTAAAAATTGTTATCATCATAGCTAAACTCCCAAATATACTAGTTGATAGATCCAAACAAATGAGATGTGAAGATACATTATTAAGTTTTTTATTTGTTTTGAGCAAATATATTACTAAGTTAGTTAGGTAAGAAGTTTCATCAGATCCAAACAAATGATCATAAGACTGATTAAACGTAACTGAGTCGTCGTAAATTACGCGGTGGTTTAAGAGATGAAATAGCATCATTACGCGGTGTAAATTGATCTTCAAAAAGAAAAACAAAGTATATGACAAATAGTGAAAATGAGAAACGATCAACCTTAGATGACCGGCATGTTGTTTCTACCTAGATACTAAAAACGACGCGATGTATGTATCTCCTCGAATAGTCAAAGAGTTGACCGTTGAAAGCCCGACAAAGTCTCCTGATTCAAGGGGTGTTCTTAAAGATCTGGCCATGTCCGTAAACGGAAACAGTACTTCAGATGTACTATATGGACCCTACGTCCTCCGGACAATAAAAGCCAGATCAACCAATCATTCACATTTGTTTTTTTTATAAAAAAATTCAATTGTTTTTTTTCTTTCTGTATTAATGTTTTTCATTAGTAAGTCGTATTCGTATTTAATGAGAGACATCACAACAAATGCATGCATATGATCGTTAAATTATTTGCTCAAGCTTCTAACTGGTAACCACTTGTCTTTCATTTGGTTGGATTAATTTTATTTATTTGAAGATGTTTTCTATTTGTTCTCAAAAGTTTTTTCTCAGCTTCACAAAGTAAACGGTAAAAAAACGACAAGTCCATCCACAAAAAAACCTCTGAACTAATTGAAGGAACAATATAAAAGATTCGAAGATTTGAAGACCGCAGTGTATATTCTGAAGTTTTTGCTCTTTCCATATTTCATAAGTCCTAATCTCCCAGGCAAATAGTTGAAGAGTACCTCTTTTCTTGTTCTTTCTATGTACCAAATAGCAACGACCAACGATGTTAATTATGTCCTACCAAGAAGTTATTATCGCCATTAGGTTCAGCCTCCTTAATTAGTATCTTTGCCCAAGTAGTTTAAGAAATCTGGAATAGTCTAATCTTTTCTAAATTCATCAATGGAAAATTTAAACAGAAACGGTTAAGAATAATAAAAGTATGTGATATGGTAGAGACTAGAGAATAGAGAGTTTGATAATATCATACATGACTGTTATGATTAGGCCGAAAATCATTAATGGGCCAAGAATAAAGGCCCATAGCTAAGGCTTTAATTTTGACTAACTCTGTAATTAATGGACCGCACGTACAAAAGAAAAGAAAACATTTCTCGTTGACAACACAAAAATACGATTTCTAGGCAAATTTGCCGTTTCCTTTCTCTGTCTTTCAGGGAAAGCTTTGTAAGATTCTCGCAAGTGAACTCCGATGACGGCGGAAACTGGACAATCCTCTGGTTCGAAACCTTCCGATGACGCATGGGCCAAACTCGGTCAGCCTTTCTCTCTCTCTCTCTCTTCCGAGAATTTTTTTTTTTTTTTCTTGAATTGCAATCGAATGTCTAGTTTATTTGTGTTGTTGTCTTCTCTTATTGATGATATCTCATTTTGTATTCTGTTCATCGTTTCCTATAGCCATCATATGTTGATTATATCTCATTGTTAAACCAATGCAACTGTGATGTTTGGGTCGTTCATACTGACTCTGTTCAAAATTGGGCAGTTCCCTTGGACACAAGATTCTCAGACATCGAGATTAGGTGCAGTGATATGGTAATATGTTCGGAGATCAAACAATCTTCATCAGAAAGACATGAATGGTGCAGAATCACAAAGAATTTGGGTCAAGGCTCTGCCACTATACATAACAAGAGGTATGTCAAATGGCTAATGATGTAACTGCCCTTCACATTGCAAACTTCACATATTTCTTTTACTTGGAATTTTTGTTTTATTCGTTTTCTAAATTTCGGTACTTTCGTAGTTCGGATGCTATACTTGTTGATGAGGCTATCATCCCGAAAGATGGTTCTGTCGATATCTTGTGTGGATCTGAAATTGTTCCTGGCCCTGAAGGACAAGGTTCGACTTGCTTACATTTTTTTTGTCTCTCTGAGTTGTCTTGTCAGTTTATTTCTTAAAGCAAGCCTTTTTTGTTTTCATCTAGAGAATGTCATGGATAATTGAACTAGTCCAGGTCAATAAAATGCTTCACTTAAAAAAAAATATAACATTTTGGTGCATTTTGTTGCATTGTATCTATGATGGAATAGAGTAGTTGCTATGATTTAGTTTGTAGGAAACCCTTTGGGTTGAAGTAGTTGTGTGCCTCTGATAATGACGCTGTAGTTTCAGATTTTATTCTAAGTTTACTTTTTATAAATATTTTGTTATTCAAATTTGTAGGTTACTTGCACTACAGATTTACGGTTATGCCTGCTCCAGAATCCAGTACCCAGCTATTAAAGGTACTCTATAGTATCTACTCATAGTCCATATTAATTCTAGATTACTTTGAAAATTTAAGCTGAGTTTCTTATTTATCTATTTGGTTTTTGCTTTCCAGATTTCCATAGATCCTGAGAATGCAAAATGCAGTATCTGTTTAAACGTATGGCATGATGTTGTCACAGCTGCACCTTGCCTTCATAATTTCTGGTCTGCCATTCGTTGGTTTTGTTACAGTCGTCATCCATAACAGACAGATATGTTTCACTGTATTGGTAATTTAATGGTTGATGTGTTTCTGTCTGCAGTAATGGCTGCTTTTCAGAATGGATGCGGAGATCAGAGGCAAAACATCAACATGTGCTATGTCCACAGTGCAGAACAACTGTACAATATGTGGGGAGAAATCATTTTCTGCAAAACATACAAGAGGTAGAATAATCTGCTCACTTGCAAGCATTTTCTTCATTTACATATGACTGTTCTTTCCATTGGTGATTGTTTTCATAGAGAGCCTTTTCATATATTCGTGTGCTTCATTTATGCTTGAGCTTGACTATTTCGGAGCATGTTTATGTTAGGATATATTAAAAGCGGATACCGCACTGAGGCGGCCAGCTGAAGATATCGCAGTGTTAGACTCCTCTGCATCAATACGGTCAAATCTTGTAAGTGACTACTGCAATATCTTTAAGTAGCTGTTTATGGAACTATGTAAAGCCTTTGCTATCTAGATGAGTTTGCTTTGCAGTACATTGACTTCTAAGGAATCATTACCATTGCTTAAACATGCTAATAGTATCTCTTGTGCAAATTAGTCGCTAGTTATACATACCTGCAATGATGTCTTAAGTACTACAATTGACATACATGTTAGATCATTGGGAGCAAGAGAAAACGTCGCTTGAGTACGCTCTCGCCCACAGTTGAAGAAAGAGATAGCTTGCCTTTGCGATGCCCACAATGTGGTAATAGATTTTTTTCTGGATGCTTGCTTCGTATATTTTTTTTTTCACGATGGAAAAACCGAATATTGATTGGTGACGTTGGATGAAGAGGAACTTGAAATTGATTAGGACTTTTGTAGAAAATTATTTAGACTATGTAGTGGAAACCCTTTTTTCAGATCTATCTTCTTGCTATTCTCCTAGTTTATTGAGGATAAAGTTGATTCAAAGGAAGCCAAAAATAACCTGATTCTAGTCCTACTAAAGAATGAATGTACTTGAGAAAAATGAAATCTAGAAAAGATGCCTGTCTCACGGAAGTTGATTTATCTTTTTACGCCAATGGCTCTGTTGGCAGTTGCTACTATCGGTGGTTATCAGTGTGAACGCCATGGTGCTCATCTGCAATGCCACCTGTGTAGAGGAATGATGCCCTTTAGAAACAATCTCCAAGTGCCTTTACACTGTAAGTGACAGTACATACTTCTTTGTTTTGCATTGTTCACAGTATAAACAATCTACAATCTATAGCTTTCAAGACTGGTTTCTATTTTCTTTTCACCCTTGACATTGCAGATTCAGTGTTGTTGTTCCTTTCATTTGTTCAGCTAAGAAAGTCTGTATAAAGAGAATGGATACTCTTATATGTCATTTGTAATAAGAGTAATAAAGAGTAAAGACATGTATAGGAATGCTGGTAGAAATAGAATACGGAGAAAAGTATAGTTTTCCTATTTCTTTGTGCTGGATGTTGCAAAGGTTGGACTGATACGTGACTGTATTAATATTTAAACATGTTCAGTAGGAAAGGAAGCTCTTGCATTTTATAATATACACACATATACACGCGTAACTCTAGTTTCTTGCAGGCATGGGATGTGATAGGCCGTTTTGTGGTGCGTATTGGAGTTCAGTAAATGTTACACAAGGTGAATCTGCTCCAGTCTGCAGTCGAGAAACTTTCAGACCTGTAGGTTGAGCTATGATCAAACCAATAGTTCCCAATGTTTACCCATTTTAGGCATGTTGATATAAGATTAGAATGATTTAATTAAAAACTGATCTCTTTGAACTTTGGTTCTCTGTCACTGTATCTATTATACGTATTGCAATAAAGAAAATTGCACTGTGGTTAAGATTGCTATGATCAAGATAGTTTTGTTTACTTGTTCGTTCTGTTTTTGACATCTACCAGTTGCGTTCCCTTCTGCTCCAATCGCTTGCATGTTAATGTTCACAAGATATATAAATTTTTTTCCTCTTTTTTTTTTCTTCATTATTTCTGAATAATATTTGCAGATCTCGGAACGCACGGCTACAAGTATTCCATTCATAACCCATGAAATGAATCGCCATGAACAAGATGTAAGGGATTTCCTTTAACGGGACTATTGATTTCTCTTATATTTTGTTGTTGTTTTTGGTGACATTCTGTGTGGTTTTTGTAGATAACACAAAGATGCATTGTCCAGATGGGGAAAACTGTGCAGGATGTTGCAGCAGAGTGGGTCAGGCGTTTCAACGATAGAGAAATTGGTAATCATATTCATAGCCAATGACACAATAAGATCAATTTGGAACTTTTCCCTAAACGTGAAAGACATTCAAAAAGAAACCGAATTTGATTTCTCTCCTTGAGCTCCACAACGAGGAGGAGATTGTTCTTATCATTCTTGAACGCTAAACCACAAAATAAAAAACCATGCTTTTCTTGTATTAATATGCTTATTAATGTCTTGAAAGTATTTAGTAGTAATGTTGTCTTTTTTTTTTTTATGTAGACCGCTCTCGAATGCCTCTTAATCATGCTGAGACGATAACTGCATCAACACATGTTTGCAAGTAAAGTCACTACTAGCCTTCTTCTGTTACTTGATATTGATTTGTGAATGTGATAAAGATTGTGTGTTGTATATAAATTTGTGTATTGCAGTGATTGTTATGAGAAGCTGGTGGGGTTTCTTTTGTACTGGTTCCGGATAACACTGCCCAGAGGTAATTTGCCAGACGATGCAGCAGCGAGGGAAGATTGTTGGTACGGATACGCATGCAGGACGCAGCACCACAGCGAAGAACATGCTCGTAAACGTAACCATGTTTGTCGTCCTATCAGAGGCAACCATCACTTTTAATTCTCTCTTTGAGTTGCAGACAAAAACTACTTACTACATTAACAAAAATACTATTTGACTTATGGACGTTTTAAGTATATTATTCCATCTACTATATTTGTGTCTACGTTCACGCATTATCAAACTTGCAGATATCATCATCTTACTCAAATGTCAAATATTGTCAATGTGTAGATATATCATGTTAGTAATTTGTTTCGGTAAATGTGAAATATTGTCAATGTGTGTTAACCTTTTGGGCTCCGTCCTTTACCAATATAGTGCCAACAATATAGGCCCATATATCAGAGTGTCAAACGGCCCATTAATGTTAATAACTTAACGGCCCATTAATGTGAATATGTTAGCAAGCTTGATAACATGAAGCGAAGAAAAGAGCAAACATAAGAAAAATAAATATCATCTCGTTGACAAAACAAGACACACGATTCTCGGCAATTCCCGATTCCTCGATCGTTTTGTAAAATTAGTGATTGCCTCTTCTGATTACGATTTCTTCTTCTTTCTTCGTCTTCTTCAAAATCGAGAAACCCTTTGGGTGATCGGTAGGCTCTACGAACCATGTTCAATTTCTGGTAAACATATCAACTCGGCGATCTGATTGAGCTTATTTTCTTCTTTGTGATTATACCCGCTCGATTGTGTTTGTATCTAATTTTGATTATGATCATTTTGTGGGAGAATTCGGATTTAAGGAACTCTGCTTTTGGTAGTTACTTTATGTTAATGGCGTTTAGTGTAGATTTTTGCTTGATTCAATTCTATAGAGCCTCTGAGTCAGGGTTTATAGTTTCTGCTATCAGATTTGTAACATCATGATGTATGTATAATCTTCCTTGCAAAAGCTTCTTATTGATGTTGATCTCTCTACAGTAATTCGAATTTTTGTGTGTTTCGTTCATTTTATCAAATAGTATATATTCTCTATGTTGTGATGCACTTCTAATAAGAGAAATTATATCTTTTTCTTGGTTAAAAGCACCTCATCTCCGTCCATGAAGTTGTTTGTGATAAGATGCTTAGATAGTATATTTGAGGATGTGTTTGTTCTGAAAATTGCAGGGGATCAAAAGAGCAACAAGGGCAGTCTCGTCCTCCTTCAGAAGCTTCTCCACAACCGTGGTACTCACCGTCTCTGGTCACGTCGCCTAGCGCATCCCGGCCTCAAACATCGACGGGCCAGTTTCCATCACATGTTTCACCGGGTGAAGCCGCCGGCATTATTGCCTTCTTGAAAGACAAAAGGTTTGTTGTTCTCTGACCCCTTAAAGCTTTTTGTTTGCTTCTTTTGCATGATAAGCTCTTGTGTTGTGTCACACATTTCTTTCTCTTCTTCAATATGAATTTAGGGCCTTTTAGGCTTGGGAGAGTTTAGGGTTGACTCTGAAACAAACCCTAGATTTACTGTGTTCGGAAAGTTTGGTTGCTTTAAGTAATCTGTGATTTTGTGTTACGTTGGTGATTTACAGAGAAAAAATTAAGGGAACCACCTACTTGTGATCTTGTGTTCTGTCTAGATTTTTACACATTTCTTCTCTTTTTCAATATGTTTCCTCCAGTGTGGATGAGCTCAGGAAGCTTCTCTCTGACAAGGATGCATATCAACAGTTTCTGTACTCGCTTGACCAGGTCACGATTCAAAACAACGTAAGTCCGAAACATGAAGTGAAAATCATAAAAAAAATGTAGCATCTTTGCGTTTTTGTGATGATTTTTCTTCATGTTCATCAGATCAGAGAAGAGCTTCGCAAAGAAACATTACATCTAGCAAGTGAGTTCTCGTAAGACTTTATTTTAACGAAGAAAATTCTGTTTACAGCAAGAGATCTAAAACATTCATGCTAATGTTGTAACAGGAGAAAACTTGGAGAAGGAACCACAGATAGTGGAGCTCAGAAATCAAGTGGGTCTATTATTCATATATTATATGAGTTATATTGAGTATACGAAACTTTTCTCACCATCTATCTGTTAAATCATTTGTTAACAACAGTGTAGAATAATCCGTACAACCGAGCTTGCAACTGCTCAAGAGAAGCTCAATGAGCTCGAGAATCAAAGAGAAGAGATCCTCAAATTCTACTCTCCAGGCTCTCTCCTTCATAGACTTCAAGGTAAAAAACATTTGTTTCCTTCACTCAGTATCCCTTTCATGTGTTAAAAAAGTATGCACATTGCTTTCTAAACACAATCCCGGATTTTTTTTGGGTTCATCGTAGATGCTATGAACGAGGCCGATGAAGAATCCGAGGAGCTGCAACAGAAGTTTATGGAGAAAGATATTGAAACGGTTGCGTTTGTGCAGAAATATAAGAAAATAAGAAGCAAGTATCATCGACGGGCTTTGATTCATCTCGCTGCTAAAACTTCACCCATCGGTTGAAACAAAGGAAGCTTTTTTTTGTTTGTTTTTATCCTTAAAGTCGATGTGTAAGTAAATGAAGATGTTTTAAAAATTGGTTCAATATTGAGATCGATATGAAAATCAATATCATTGGGTTACATAATCATGTTTGTAATCTAAATCTTGTTATCTTTTTGTTATTTGGGTGTGAAACATTATGAACTTAGAAGAGCTTATACTACTTTTCAGTGGATTACTAGAATTAATTACGTTATATATAAAAGAAAAAAAGGCAAATCAATTTTGACGTGGCATGTGTCCAATTTTGTCTTCATTTGGAAAATCACACCACAATTTTACCAGACTCGTTCTTTGACGTGCTACTTTGAATCATGACTTAAGACAATAGTCACCTGCAAGTCAATTTTTACAAGTCAATTTTTAATATTAAAATTAACTATATCTTAACTTACTAATTCATTTTATGTTGTTGTGAATTATCAGTCTATCTCGTATTAGCAAGTTAACTCGTAATAAATAATACTGAGGATAAAGAACATGGTTGCTCCAAAATCACATGCTCTTACTTCCTTACCAACATCCGTTATTTAAATTTTGCTTCCCGGTTACTATGCTCTATAATTAGTTTATTGTTTATCATTTCATAATCTTCACCTGATTGAGAAAATTATGCAAAGAGAAGGAAATACACGAAAGACATTTTGGTTATGTAAGAGAAGACGAAGGAGAATCATCTACCAATCGTTAATTTATAAATTAGTTAACACAACTTATAAGATGAACATAAAATCGAACCAAACCAAACCAAAATCAATAATTTTCGAGTATATATATTTAAAGCCCCACTATCTCCGCTAAAACATTTGAGAACGTCTCTCTCTCTTTCTCTCTCTCTGACAGTTCTTTTTGTTTTCTTGTCTCTCCCTCTCGATGCGAAGAATCGAGCAATTGTGTCGCTCTCTCTAAGCCTGTGTTTATTGGGAACATTACCAGAATTCGAACGAGCTACTTCAATGCGTATCCTTCGGTGCATGATGCTGGCGGCTGCGTTGGCGTTTGCGGCGGCGATAACTGGGTTCGCGTCGGCGTTTCCGAATTACGCAGCTGGTCCGGCCAAGATTCTGACTCTAGAAAGGGCTTTTCCTCTCGACGAGCCAGTGGAGCTGAGTGAGCTAAGAGCGCGTGATCTTGTCAGACACGCGCGACTCTTACTGGGAGGCGGTCGCCAGAGCTCCATCGGCGGCGTCGTGAACTTCCCAGTTCAAGGCTCCTCCGATCCTTACCTCGTCGGGTAATTTCCTTTTTCGGAGTACCATAATTTCTGATTCCAGATAAAAAAACCATGCCTTGTTTTCATAACCAGTGTTCAGATTGAGTTTAGATCGTTTTCTACTTCAGCTTTTTAGCTTCTTTTGCCAAATTCCGTGATCAAAATGAAAGAGTTAGGGTTTCGAAGTTTTTTTTATTATGTATATACCTTTTAGGGTTGGCTTTTGTCTTGCTGAGATAAGATCTTATTCACTTTGTTCTCCTTTCTTTTCTTTGTTGCAGCTCCAAGACGACTATGTATGTCACATTTGCACACTCTGTTATTGGATCTCTCCTTTATCAGCTTTTTGTTTGTTTGAGTGTGTGGAACAAGTATTCTTTCATGTGACATATATCTGTATGGTGTTTCTTGGTAGGCTTTATTTCACAAAGGTCAAACTGGGTTCTCCTCCTACAGAGTTCAATGTTCAGATTGATACTGGAAGTGATATCTTGTGGGTTACTTGTGGTTCTTGCAGTAATTGCCCTCACTCCAGTGGACTTGGAGTAAGCAGCTTAATCTTAGGCTTTTACTTTAACAGAGTTTTGTTGTGGAATCAGTGTTGTAGGGCTTATCATCCTTCTCCTTTTTTCCGAAAATTCATTTTCAGATCGAGCTCCACTTCTTTGACGCTCCTGGTTCCTTGACTTCTGGCTCTGTAACTTGTTCGGATCCGATATGTTCCTCAGCTTTTCAGACAACAGCTGCACAGTGCTCTGAGAACAACCTGTGCGGCTACTCCTTTCGCTATGGCGATGGAAGTGGGACTTCGGGTTACTACATGACCGACACGTTCTACTTTGACGCGGTTTTAGGAGAGTCTCTAGTTGCAAACTCATCTGCTCCCATTGTTTTCGGGTGAGTGTCTTTTTGCTATCAAAACACTGACTCCTTGCGTTTGCATGAGAGTGTTAAACTTCGTCTTCTTGTGTTTGCAACAGCTGTAGCACTTACCAATCTGGGGACTTGACAAAGTCAGAGAAGGCAGTGGATGGAATATTTGGTTTTGGAAAAGGAAAGTTGTCAGTTGTTTCTCAGCTGTCTTCACGAGGGATCACACCGCCAGTGTTTTCACATTGCTTGAAAGGAGATGGTAGTGGAGGCGGTGTCTTTGTCCTTGGCGAGATATTGGTCCCAGGAATGGTTTACAGTCCTCTTGTCCCATCACAGTAACCTCACTAATCTTCACTCTTTGATTGTCTTATGCTGTCACAAGCTGAAAATTGTTAGTTTAGAGCATAAGCGTTATATATATATGTAGCAGAGGTGGTGGTTCTAGTGTGTTGTTTCCTCCCGATTGATTCAGTCTCTTGCTATCTCCCAAAGGTTCTGAAATTGTTGAGTATCTGTACGTACTACAGGCCTCACTATAACTTGAATCTGCTGAGCATTGAAGTGAATGGGCAGATGCTGCCTATCGATGCAGTGGCGTTTGAAACAACAAATACCCGTGGAACTATTGTTGACACGGGAACCACTTTGACGTATCTGGTGAAAGAGGCTTACGAACCCTTTTTCAGTGCTGTAAGTTTGTGAATATCTTGTGTGTTTGTTTCGCCCTGAGAATCTGAATTTCAGAATTAATGATGTCGCTTTACTGTGTTATCTGCAGATATCAAGCAGCGTATCACAGTTGGTAACACCAATCATTTCTAATGGATACCAGTGCTATTTGGTCTCGACTAAGTATGCCTACTTATATATAACTGCAATGTTCAAATCCTTTTTTTGCTCTAGTTCAAAGTTAAGAGGAGACTTCTCTTGTTTTTTTTTATGTGTGTGTGTGTGTGTGTGTTTGTGCAGCGTAAATGATATGTTTCCTCCGGTTAGTCTTAATTTTGCTGGTGGTGCATCAATGATGTTAAGACCTCAGGACTACTTATTTCATGCTGGTTTCTATGTAAGTTCTTCTGCTAGTTATATATATATATATATATACGTTACACTAAAAGAACTAAAACCAGTCTGGTTTTAGATGTAATCTATTAACTTCGTCTCTCTTTCCTGTCCAGCAGGATGGTGCATCGATTTGGTGCATGGGTTTTGCGAAAGCTCTGGAAGAGCAAAACATTTTAGGAGGTTAGGCTTTGAGCTTTTATAAACTGATGATTTCCGCATCTTCTTGTCCCAACAACAATGTTTAAATATCACTCCTGTTATTGTTTTTGCAGATCTTGTCCTTAAAGATAAAGTCTTTGTGTATGATCTTGCTCGGCAACGGATTGGATGGGCAGACTATGATTGTAAGTATAAATCTTATAGCCGTAATCATTTAGGAAAGTATAGTCACATTGGTTATCTTCATCTGAACATAGTAAACTTGACTTCGTTTGACAGGTTCCATGTCTGTGAACGTATCGGTAACTTCAGGAAAGGATCTCGTAAACTCAGGGCAACCATGCTTGAGCATATCGAGGAAAGACATGCTGTTAAAACTGTTATCTAGCGTTATATTGGCTCTACTTCTTTGTACTTTCTTCTCCTTGACGTAATCTTAATAGAGAGTTTCACGTTTCTGTGTGTTTTGTTTTAGAGTAGTGTAGCTGATTTTGTTGGGTTCCTTCGATTCATTCACCACTCTCACATCTTCTCTGTAGTTAGTAGTGCCGTTTTTAATTGTCTGTGAAAAAGGGGTTAATTGTTGCCTTTCACCGTCTCTTTTCAGTAAAACTTTTAGTTGTTATTTGTTGTCGAGATGCCAGGCTTTTCCTTTTGTCTACTACAAAAAAAAAAAGCGATACGAGAACGTATTCTCTTGCAAAGCTGCTTTTCAAGTGTCAGTACTTGGAGGGAAAAAAAAAGATATTGTGATGATCATCACATCTTTGTGAATTAAATGAAATCGACCAAATAAAGGAATATATATCATTGAGTCAACAATTAAACAAGAAAATGGTCAACAATATCGTGAAATGATTGACCGAAAGGTAAAATATACTATTACTATAGTTTACCACATATAATGGAATAAATATAAATGCAATGCATCATAAGATTGGAACCTAAACCTTAGTTTCTCATAACAAAGACTTAAGTTTTTGGACCATTTGATTTAAAAGTTACATACCAAAGATAACACAACCATGGATTAGATATGGCTTTGCCACCGATCTTGAACGGCTACTTGGTGTACTTGGACTCCAAAGCACTTAAGAATATATTATCTACTTGAACAACGTATGGTCTAAGCTAAAAGGATATATTGAAGTTAAACTTGATTTTGGGTTAAGCTTAATTTTGGGTTTATAAAATAATTATTAGTTATTAGATTAGGCCCAAAATTAAGCTCAAGTTCTAGAATCTCTAGAAACATCACTAAAAATCATCATCTTTCTTAAATGTTCTAGAGAATTCTATTAGTTAAATATCTAGATAATTCTATAGATAATTCTAGATGTTGTAGTTAAAATTCTAGATATTATTGTAGAAAATTCTAGAGATTAGGAGAATGTTTGTAAGATATTTTGTAATAAGTGGAGCCTATAAATAGCCCACTACTCCATCATTTGTAAACAAGAGAAGTTGAACAAATAAAGAAAGAGTGTTCTTCATAAGTTCTCTTATCCTCTCTAAAGTTCCTTCAAGTTTTCTCTAAGTATTCTTTCATCTTATTATTCATACTTAGAGGGTCTTTGTTTCTTTCGGATCTCTCGGGTATTACGGTCTTGGGCTAGTGCTTGGCACTATCGGTGTTTTCTTTACATGGTATCAGAGCCATTCTGATCTGGTTCTTTTTCAAGATCGGATTAATTGAGATCTCAGATTTACTCTAAGTATGGAGTCAATGGGTCGCGTTGTTGGGTTGGGAATGGAGATTCTAAACCAATCCAATTACCGGTTATGGAAGTCATGCATGGAGTCATACTTGGTGAGTGAGGACTTATGGGATGTCGTCGGCGGCAGTAGCACAACACCACCAAGGGGAGCTGCTGCGACAGCGGAAGCGACAAAGGAGTGGACACGGAAGAATGCCAAGGCGGAGTTTGCATTGAAGAGGTCAATATCCTCGGGAGTCTTTGAGCATGTCTCAAGTTGCACATCCGCTAGTTCCATTTGGCAGGCGTTAGATCAGTTGTTCAACAAGAAGAATGAAGCTCGGCTACAACTGTTAGAGAACGAGTTGGCGAATGCAAAGCAGGGGGAGTCTTCAATCTCAGAGTTTTTCATCAAGGTAAAGAATCTTCGCTCAGAGATTAATACTCTAAATCCGGAGGAGTCAATTTCCGAAGCACGTTTTAAAACGGTATATTATTCGAGGTCTACGACCTGAGTATACACCGTTTGTGACTTCGGTTCAAGGATGGGCTACACAACCTTCCTTGGAGGAGTTCGAGAACCTGCTAGCTTCGCAAGAGTCATTAGCTACGCAAATGGCAGGAGTCAAAATCCATGATGACTCGGGGAGCACCTTTGTAGCTCGGAAGCAACACAACTTCAAAGCCAAATCCAAATACGATGGTGCAAAGAACATCGATGGACCGGAAGGATCTTCTACTGGAGATAAGAAGCGATTCAAGTGCTACCGGTGTGGAAAGCTTGGGCACTTCAAAAAGGATTGTCGAGTCAAGCTGAAGGAGACAAATATGGCAGAATCAAAAGGTCATATTGAAGACGAAGAATGGGGGAAATGCTTCACGGTGGAGGCTGCATCTTCAGGTATATCCACAACTAAAAATCTTGAAAATGATTGGATTGTGGATTCGGGTTGTAGCCACCATATTACCGGAGACGAGAAGCTATTTTCTAGTCTTCAGCGCCATGATGGAAAAGAAGCCATAATTACCGCGGATAATTCAGTTCACCGGGTCGAGAAGGAAGGGACTGTTGTCATTGAAGGAGAAGATGGAAGCCCTATCACCCTCAAGAATGTATACCATGTCCCTGGAGTAAGGAAGAATCTTCTCTCTGTGGTGAATGCAGTAGACTCAGGTAACTACGTTTTATTTGGCCCAAGAGACGTCAAATTCTTGAAGAATATTAAAGAGTTAAAGGCGGATGTGGTTCACACCGGATCGCAGGTTAAGGATCTATATGTCTTATCTGCGTCCAACTCATACGTGGAGAAGATGAGTACAAACGACAATGCCTCTATATGGCATGCTCGGCTTGGTCATATAAACATGACTAAGCTAAAGGTTATGGTGAATAAGGAGTTGGTAAATGGGCTTCCGAAGCTGAAGATCCAAGATGAAGGAAAGCTTTGTGAAGGTTGTCAATATGGAAAATCACATAGACTTCCATTTGACAATTCTACTTCACGGTGCAGTGCTCTGTTGGAGAGGATCCATAGTGATTTGATGGGTCCTACAAGAACACCCTCATATTCCGGGTTTCGGTACATGTTGCTGTTCATTGATGACTTCTCACGGCACACTTGGGTATACTTTGTGAAGGAAAAATCAGAAGTATTCTCCAAATTTCAAGAATTCAAGGTTACCGTGGAAGGGGAGCTGGGTCGGAGAATCAAGACCTTAAGGACAGATAATGGAGGGGAGTTCATGTCCAAGGAGTTTCTCTTTTTTTGTCAAAAGCATGGAATAAAGAGAGAGTTTACTTGTCCGTATACACCTCAACAAAATGGAGTAGCGGAAAGGAAGATTCGACATCTAACTGAGACGTGCAGAAGCTGGCTATATGGGAAGGATCTGCCTAAAGCCTTATGGGCGGAAGGCATGAGATGCACAGTGTACGTCATAAATCGGATGCCACTCAGCCCAAATAACATGAAGTCTCCGTATGAGATGATTCATGGGAAGAAGCCGTCAGTGAAACATCTCAGGATATTTGGATCAGTCTGCTACGTCCATGTGTTTGATTCTCAAAGAACCAAGTTGGAGGCAAAGGCGAAGAAGTGCATCTTCGTTGGCTATGACGAACAAAGAAAAGGGTGGAGGTGTATGGATCCAGAGACACACAGGTACGTAGTGTCTCGAGATGTTGTTTTTGATGAAGTTTCCTCATTCTATGGGCCACCTCAAGTTTTAGTTGAGCAAGAAGGTGGGAGTTCCTCCAAGAGTGATAAACCAGCTCTGAGTAAGGAAAAAGGTCCTGAAGAAGAGATGCAAGGTGAAAGGGGGAGCACTGATCAAGAGGAGGATGAGGAGGAACATCATGGTTCCACGGCTAGTCAAAGGCCTAAAAGGGACATCATTAAACCTGCTCGGTTCAGAGATCCAAAGTTTGTTACTACCTTCTCGTGCTACTTTGCAGCTCCATTAGATGAAGATGAGCCAACATCTTATGATGAAGCAAAAGGTGTTGACGAGTGGGAAAACGCAATGAAGGAGGAGATGAATGCTCTCATGAAGAACGAAACTTGGGATTTGGTTCCAAAACCCAAGAATGCCCAACCTGTTTCTTGTAAATGGGTGTACCGGATCAAGCGCAAAACAGATGGAAGCGTTGATAGATTCAAAGCAAGGTTGGTTGCTCGGGGATTCTCTCAAAAGTATGGAGAAGACTATGATGAGACCTTCAGCCCTGTAGCCAAGATGACTACGATACGTTCTCTCTTATCTTTGGCTGCAAGTTTTGGTTGGAAGTTATGGCAATTAGACGTGAAGAATGCTTTTCTATATGGAGAGCTTGACAAGGAAATCCTGATGGAGCAGCCACTTGGTTTTATATCACGAGAGCATCCTGATTATGTGTGTAAGCTGAAGAAGGCCTTGTATGGGTTAAAACAAGCTCCACGAGCCTGGTATGGAAAGCTTGCTCAGTTTCTTCAGTTCTGCGGTTATGTGGCATCAAACTCTGATCTGAGTCTATTCTTCAAGAAGAATGGAGGAGTCCACGTGGTAGTTCTCCTTTATGTGGATGATATGATAATTACCGGGAATGATGATGCAGAAATTACTCGTTTACAAGAGGATATGTCGATAAGGTTTGAGATGAAGAAGTTGGGAGAGCTCAACAACTTTCGCGGTTTGGAGGTGGAAAGGGTAAAGGGTGGAATATTCATCGGCCAACAAAGCTATGCAAGAAGAATCGTTGAGAAGTTTGGAGTACACGAAGGAAAGACACGCTCTACTCCAATGGATGTCAACATAAAGCTTAAACGCGATGAAGGGTCCTTACTACCTGATCCTCGGCCTTATCGCTCTCTTGTAGGAAGTCTTTTATACTTAACCATTACAAGACCTGACATTGCCTTCGCGGTAGGTCTTGTAAGTCGGTTTATGCAGGCACCAAGGAAGCCACATCTAGAAGCGGCAAAGAAGATATTGAAGTATGTGAAGACAACTCTTGGCATGGGTCTGGTGTACAAGTATAATGCCAAGGTCTCTCTTTATGGCTTCACGGATGCTAACTTTGGTGGAGATCTTGATGATCGGAAATCAACTTCAGGCTATGTTTTCCTATGTGGGAACACAAGTGTCTCATGGTGCAGTAAGAAGCAAGCAACGGTGTCGTTATCTACAACTGAAGCAGAGTATAAAGCGTCAACTCTAGCAGCTCAAGAGTGTATTTGGCTTCAGAGACTCCTAGAAGATCTGTTCGAGCCAATCAATAAGCCAATTGCAATTTATGGAGATAATCAAAGTGCGATCAAGCTGGCCAATAATCCGGTGTTCCATGGGAGGACTAAACACATTGAGTTAGAGCATCACTTCATAAAAGAGAAGGTGCTTGATGGGACAATTGAAGCTTTGGAAGTTCGAAGCGAGGACAACGTTGCGGATATCTTCACCAAGTCATTACCAAAAGGTCAGTTCGAGTTACTTCGCTCGAAGCTCGGGATGACTGACAAAATCAAGTTTAAAGGGGAGTATTGAAGTTAAACTTGATTTTGGGTTAAGCTTAATTTTGGGTTTATAAAATAATTATTAGTTATTAGATTATGCCCAAAATTAAGCTCAAGTTCTAGAATCTCTAGAAACATCACTAAAAATCATCATCTTTCTTAAATGTTCTAGAGAATTCTATTAGTTAAATATCTAGATAATTCTATAGATAATTCTAGATGTTGTAGTTAAAATTCTAGATATTATTGTAGAAAATTCTAGAGATTAGGAGAATGTTTGTAAGATATTTTGTAATAAGTGGAGCCTATAAATAGCCCACTACTCCATCATTTGTAAACAAGAGAAGTTGAACAAATAAAGAAAGAGTGTTCTTCATAAGTTCTCTTATCCTCTCTAAAGTTCCTTCAAGTTTTCTCTAAGTATTCTTTCATCTTATTATTCATACTTAGAGGGTCTTTGTTTCTTTCGGATCTCTCGGGTATTACGGTCTTGGGCTAGTGCTTGGCACTATCGGTGTTTTCTTTACAGGATATGTATACATGTATGGGTGAATATATATAACTAAATGATTTCTAATATCTAGGATTATTAGTCGCATATAGCATATAATCTTTTTTTTTTTGGGTCAAGAAATAACATAAAATCTATTTGACCAAAAATATGAATATGGACAACTTTTGAGAGAGATAAAAGTCTGGGGCTCATGGAAACGTTAAGATATAAAAGTTTACATATCCAAAGGTAAAAAATACGTGGCATCTATTATTAATCCATATGTCTCATTCTCCAGTGTGTTGCTCATGCCTATTCATCCACTTCCCCAAACATTGTCTCTAAATTGCCGATACACTCATGTAGTATAAAAGTGAATAATGATTAACATGAATTTTGAAACATAGTGAAAATTGCTAAAAATCTTCACTTACTACTAGTAATGCTTCTTCCTCCGTCCCTCTTATTGCCTTTAGATGCCACATTTTCAAAATACCAATGTTGTTGCAGCAAATGATCTTCCCTGCCCAGCTCCCAAATTCTTCAGTCCAACTTCCAATTTCTTCAAAGAAGAAACTGAAATCGAATTTGAAATAGCATTTACAGCACCTTCAAGGTAGACTTCACGTATTTCTGCACCTCCATAAGCCTAGTATTCGTTGCCATCTTATTTTGCATCAGCTGTAGCTTCGACTTCGTAGTAATTCTAGATCCCAAAAGCTCCAGTTTATCCTTTAAACTAGTCTGCAGTTTTAAGTAAAAACAATTAAAAATGCTAATATGATTAACCAAAAAAAAGCATAAAGGATAGCATTACAACCTTCAGCTTGACAGTGTTCGAATCTTGTGAGCTGAGATAATTTCTCAGTCCATTCAACTCACTTTTTAGTAGTTCAAGTGATGAATTTTTAGTAGTTCAACTCACATGATTCTTATTGTTGCATAGAAATTTGATAGAGTTGGAGGAAAGAGCGAAGGATGATGGCTTTTAAGAGTTTAATTATCGTTCTCATAATTGTTTCTCTCTTTGGTCTTCATAAATGTAAGAATGTGTTCAATCTGTTTTTCATTTTTTTTTACACAAACCAAAAGTAACAATGCATATACATATGTACAGTCTACTTTTCATACTTACAACAATTGATCTATATGAATTGAATTTACAATAATAAACCATGCATGTATGATATTTGTTGGTGAATCGGGGGTTCATCCGAAGGGGTATGAACTTGACCAAGAATCCGTTTTTATAAATGGTCAGATTATTATATCATATCGTACGGTTTTAATCGAATAATATGTTTGTTTGCTTTGGTTTGACGACTAAACGAGAATTACGATTGTAATATACATAATTATTAGTGGTTTCTTTTAGATTTATAATTAAAAGTTCTCGATTAGGCTTGTTATGATACAGCGTGATGATTTGTTTCCGTGAGATTTGTTTGAAGTAGAGACGAGAGATTCAGAAAATAAGAATAAGGTTCTTATTAATGGCAAAATATTAGTTTCTTGATTCTTAATAACGGTCACATTGTTGTTTCAGTTGCTGCTTAAGTCCAAAAATATTTGCATCTAATCATTTTTCACATTAGAAGATTACATATGTTTGTTATATCGTGGCCTAAGTGGTTTTTGGCTCATGATGTTTTTGGTATGCAGGTGTTGGGCTTTTGGAACAAATACAAAATGGTTTGTTTCAGTGTCATGGTACAAGTGTACAGTAGGGTACAATTCTAATATTACATTAGGTGTATTCTATCAATTAGCAATTAATTAGGATTGTATGTAGATTTTTTTTGGGATAGCTAATTGCATGGAACTACGACTTTCTAAATACCTCTCAATCATATTATATCTGGTTTTTTATTTAGCTTCTCTGTTTGATTTTTGGTGTAAACCTTTTTTTGTGTGGTTCCTTTTGAAGTTTGGTCTTGTTTGGTTTACTAAGGTGGGTGAAAGCCTGAAAGGGAGTTACGTATCACCACCATTTGTTTGTGAGTTGTGACTATAATTTCTTTTAAAATTGATAAAATGAAATTTGTGAGTTGTGACCATTTTGGTTGCTCATGAAAGAATCTGATTCTTTGTTTCGTTTTATGGATATATATCAGAATTGCTATGATTGAAACTTGAAAAGAGTGAGCTAATTAAACACATGCGTTCGGATTCCCCTTATAGAAAAATTTAAGTATGGATTTTGTTTCGTTACGCATGGACTAACAAAATGCACCAAATTCAGGCTAATTTAATTAGAGAAAGTTCTATTAGAAACCACCAACTGCATTTAGACACGAAGTAGCATGGCTTTTTAGGTTTATTGAAAATATATGACCTATGGAGTTACGTTAGTTCAGTTTAATATCCAATCTCTTCACTGTGCTTTTATTATCGATTTAACGGACGCTAAAGTAATTATATAAACGTCACTAATTACTGAAATGGTTTATACCTAAAGGATGTTAAGAGTTGAAGAAATGTCAAACTAAAATTCAATTGTATTTGAAATGTAGATGAGTCAACAAATGGTTATGAATATCTCATAAAACCACACCAGTGCTAAAATTGGAGAAGGGAAATTCAACGGGAATTGTGTTTTGCTTTGCTTTCATCACATTTTTGTAAATTAGAAATATAATTGACGGACGAGTCAAATTACCAGACTCTAATTAAGTCTTGATCTTTACCAATATAAATCAACGCAAAATTAAAATACAATGTAGTTGCTTTCGTAATGGTTTTGTTAAGCATCATTAGCCATCTTGGCGTACAATTTCACCGTACCCTCATGTCGGTTTGAAAATTCTTTCTCATAGTCCCAACAACTATTTCTTTAGAATCATTTAATAGTTTTCTGAACATATCACAAAAGTCATGCCTTTCTAAATCAAAGTCTTGTAAAACTATACTTTGTTACATAAAATTATATATAATATGTTTCTGTGTTGAATAACGTATATATATTATGAAATCATCTTCTAAATTTCTTTAGAATTACATGAAAATTCGGAGAGTATTCTTTAAGAATAGTACATAAAATAGTTAGTTAATTGAGTGAAAATATACAAAAATTTTAATTCAGAAATGTCATTGGATGCAATAAAAAAATGTTAGAAGCCCATATCCCTCCAATTTTTTTTTTTGGTACGATCCCTTCACTTTACTCTCACGCCACTCTATCTCGCACATGTATAAATACCAACCAACATTTACTTCTAATTAGTTCAGAGACACACTATACTTAGTCCCCAGTTTATCTTAACCATGCCCATAAAACCGGTTTTAACCATCCTTATAGCCCTTTTCTCCACAATTCTTGCTCTCTACGCAATCATATTGCCTTCCTCTCTCTCTTCTATTGCTACAACTATCATAACCAATTCTGAACTCGGAGCATTAACAATACATCCAACACTCTTTGGACACAAACACCACCATCATGATCATCAATATTATCATCATCACCACGACGGTGAACGTGTTCCAAAAAAGTGTAGTGAGAAATGGACGTCAAGGCTTACACACATTTACAAGGCTTCTCTTGTGTTGACCGTTGATTTGAACGGTTGTGGTAACTTCAGCAATGTTCAAAGCGCCATCGATTCCGTCTCTGATCTAAGCCTTTCTAAGACTCTCATTATCGTCAATTCGGGTGTTTATAGGTCATTTCTTCAACTTAAAGCTCTTGTTATTGGCTTTCTTTCTCCTTTTAAAAATTATTATATAATAATAATTTTTATTGTGTAATGTCAAATAGTTTTAGTAATGTTTGGTTAAAATGTAATGTAAGTAAGCAGGGAAAAAGTTACAGTTAATGAGAACAAGACAAACATTGTAATGCAAGGAAGAGGATATCAAAACACATCCATTGAATGGAACGACACAGCAAAATCCGCAGGAGGCACTGTCTATAGTTTCTCTTTTGTTGTGTTTGCAGCCAACTTCACAGCTTACCACATCAGCTTCAAGGTATAAGAAATCGAAATGGCAACAATATTGTGTATGATGATTTGAGTTCTCAAATGTGTATTTGTTTTGACTTTTGAGTGGTTGAAGAACAATGCGCCAGAACCAGATCCTGGTGAGGATGATGCACAAGCAGTAGCTCTAAGGATTGAAGGAGACCAATGTGCTTTTTATGGATGTGGATTCTACGGTGCTCAAGACACCCTTCTAGATGATAAAGGAAGACATTTCTTCAAAGATTGTTTCATTCAAGGGTCAATAGATTTCATATTTGGCAATGGAAGATCAATCTATCAGGTCAACTATATATAATATACACATGAGCATTACATAAAATGACTATAACAATATGAATATCCTTAGCAGAATTGTACGATTAATTCGATAGCAAAGGAGAATACATCAGGGGTTACCGGATCTATCACGGCTCATGCAAGGGAAACAGAAGATGAACGGACAGGATTCTCTTTCGTGAACTGTAAGATAGATGGAAGTGGGAAAGTGTGGCTTGGACGAGCTTGGGGACCATATGCAACCATCGTGTTCTCCAACACTTACATGTCTGGAATCATCACTCCAGAAGGTTGGAATAATTGGGGTGACCCGAGCAGAGAAAAGTAAGTGGGATACAAACCAAACTTCAAATCATATATAGCAAAGGTTGCTTTCGTTCTAAATGCATTTTAATTTTCAGGACGGTGACTTTTGGAGAGCATAAGTGCTATGGAGAAGGAGCAGATTACAAAGGGAGAGTGTCGTACGGGAAACAACTAACAGATTCTGAAGCATCTTCATTCACGGACATTTCTTACATAGATGGAGACCAGTGGCTGAATCAATCTAACGTACTCTCTGAGCTTACATCTGAAGACAACACAAACGATCTTATTGGATTTTACTAACGTATATAAAGATCATGATGCATAGTTACTCAAGAAAAAAACAATCAGATATGTACTATAAGTCTATAATAGGATAGTCACATTCACATCTAATTTTTAAACAAGACCATATTTGCGTATATATGTATTCGACTTGCTTGTGTTTACTTAGCTGCCTCATCCAATATCTAAATGATACATGATTTAAAAACGAGTTGTAACTCTATCTAAGAATTTTCACTAACTCACAAAGATCTGCCGGAATTATGTATGTCATAATCCACCAGGAATCGAGATCTCTTCCAAATAAATATTTTAAAATAGAATAGCCTAAAAGATTTAGCACATCTGAAAGAAAAAAATTAGCAAAATAGCCACAAGAAAAACCTCAAAAATTGTCACATACTTAAAAACAAATAAACTATGATAAACAAACTAGGATACTGATATATATTGGGTCGGTCCGGCAAAAAAAAGACATTTTACATTCGAGATCGATAAACAGAAGATGAACGGACAGGATTCTCTTTCGTGAACTGTAAGATAGATGGAAGTGGGAAAGTGTGGCTTGGACGAGCTTGGGGACCATATGCAACCATCGTGTTCTCCAACACTTACATGTCTGGAATCATCACTCCTGAAGGTTGGAATAATTGGGGTGACCCGAGCAGAGAAAAGTAAGTGGGGATACAAACCAAATTTCAAATCATACATAACAAAGCTTGCTTACGTTCTAAATGCATTTTAACTTTCAGGACGGTGACTTTTGGAGAGCATAACTGCTATGGAGAAGGAGCAGATTACAAAGGGAGAGTCTCGTACGGGAAACAACTAACAGATTCTGAAGCATCTTCACTCACGGACATTTCTTACATAGATGGAGACCAGTGGCTAAATCAATCTAACGTACTCTCTGAGCTTACATCTGAAGACAACAGAGACGGTCTTATTGGATTTTACTAACGTATATAAAGATCATGATGCATAGTTACTCATGAAAAAAAACAATCAAATATGTACTATAAGTCTATAGTAGGATAGTCACATTCACACCTAATTTCCAAACAAGACCATATTTGGGAATATATGTATTCGACTTGCTTGTGTTTACATAGCTGCCTCATCCAATATCTAAATGATACATGATTTAAAAACGAGTTGTAAATCTATCTAAGAGTTTTCACAAACTTACACAGATCTGCCGGAATTATGTATGTCACAATCCACCAAGAATCAAGACTCTTACAAATAAATATTTTAAAAGAAAATACCCTAAAAGATTTATCACATCTGAACGAAATTTTTTTTGCAAGACAGCCACAAGGAAAAAACCTCACAAATTGTCATATATTTAAAAAACAAACAAATTACTATATTCTAGGGATATTGGTAATATATTGGGCCGGTCCTGCAAAAAAGACATTTACGTTCGAAGTCTGTAATAATTTGATGAAGGATATGTCATACTTTGCTATGAATAACAAAAAAAAACCCGTGAAATATTGATGAAAATTACATTAACATTAGCAAGTCATTCATATAGACCGAGAGAACCATTTCTACATTTGGCAATGGAACCATTTGTACAACAAATATTTGATTTCATTTCAAAAAAGAAAAAAGAAAATCTGATAAATATTAAATTAGTCGAGACCAATCATCATCTGATACGTTTGTGTCCTCTTTCTATGTTTTCTCATTAATCATGCAGTGATTTGGAGGCCTAAATTAATATGTAACGTAATAAGCAATAATATATAGTATATAGTATATAATATATAGTATCATAATAACATCAGTAAGAACTGCTAAGATGCTCCTCGACCATAACCTTGGAGAGAATGTCAGTTTGATTCAGCCACTTATCTCCATCAATGTATGTTATGTCCGTAAACGCAGATGCTTCAGCATCAGTCAGCTGTTTCCCGTATGAAACTCTCGCTTTGTAGTTGGCTCCTTCTCCATAGCATCTGTGTTCTCCAAAAGTCACTGTCCTGGAATATCAAACGCATTTAGACATAAGTAAAACTTTGTTTGTATGACAAGAGAATGAGTTTGTGCTCGGTTTACTTGTCATAGGTCAGGTTTCTCCAGTCACTCCATCCGTCTGGAGCGATGATTCCGGACATGTACGTGTTTGAGAACATGGCGTAGGCTCTCCAGGCTCGTCCGAGCAACACCTTCCCAGTTCCATCTATCGTGCAGTTGACAAAAGAGAATCCTGACTGATCAGCTTCTGATGCCCTTCCCTGAGCTGTAATATATCCGCTAATCCCTGCGGTAACCTCGTTTGCTATCGATCTGATGGTACAATCCTGCTTCCAACTTCAAGCTGTTAATTATCTGATGTTTTGAAATCGTCACAAAGAGAGTGTTTTTCTTTATATACCTGGTACAGCGACCTTCCACGGCCATATATAAAATCCACCGACCCCTGGATAAAGCAGTTTTTGAAGAACTGTCTTCCTGCGTTATCAAAGAGCGTGTCTTGTGCACCGTAGAAGCCACATCCGTAGAAAGCACATTGGTCTCCATCAATCCTAACTGCTACTGCTTGAGCACCGATCACTCCAGGCTTTGGTTCTGGAGCAGTGTTCTTTCTCAGAAAAAAAAACAAAACGACTATGTGTGAGAACTCTATATCTTTTTGTATCAACGAAGGCTTGCTATAGAACTGAGTGTTGATTTTCAAGTTCTTTACCTTGAAGCTGATGTTGTGAGCAATGAAGTTATCGGCAAAGACACCGAAAGAGTAGCTCTTGCTTGTTTTTCCTGAGGATTGTGCTGTGTCATTCCATTCAATGAAAGTGTTCTCATATCCGTTGCCTTGCAGAACAATGTTTATCTTCTTCTTACTAACCCTAACTTTTTCCCTGTTTACATGAGTTGAGCTAACCATTACTAAAAAATTACACAAGAGAACATGAAGAACAAGAGCATAATAGGAGAAATATAGACAACCTGTAAACACCCGAGTTGATGATGATGATAGTCTTGGAAGGGCTTGATTCAGGGACAGCATCAACAGCACTCTGAACGCTGCTGAAGTTACCACCACCGTTCAGGTCAACAACCAACACAAGAGAGGCAGAGGAAGGGCATGTGATTGTAGAAAGAGAGAGAATGGTGACAAGAAGAACTTTGATGGACATGATTGGGGAAGATTAGCGTATGGACTCTGTGAGGGAAGAAGATGAAGTTAAGAGCAACTTTGATGGACAAGAAGAACTTTGATGGACTCTGTGAGGGAAGAAGATGTGTAAATGGTATTTAACTCTGTGAGGGAAGATGTGTAACTGGTAATTATTTCTCACAAAGAAGAAAAGTGGGTGGGGCTAATTAAAATTACTGTTTAATGCTCGAACTGTAAGTCTAACTATACCTGAAAAATTTGGTATATGATGATTCCATTAAAGATACAAAGGGATGTAAAGTGGAGCAATAAGCTCCTGCATTTCGAAGTTAGACAACATTTTTAGAGGTGAGGACTACTTATTCATGGTTATGCCTTACTTTGGTTCAACGTGTTGCATAGAAATGGAGACATTGGTACATACTAACCAAATCAAGATGATAATATTTAAATACATAATCAAAGTTTTTAAGTAACTAAGCTTAATGTAGACCTATGCAACCTTCCTTGTCCAATTGTGTAGTATGTAATGCATTTTGATAGGAACACTGCCCCATTATTTATCAGCCATGGCTATGCCAATTCGTCCTTTGACTCACAGTACCAATTATCAGATCGAAACAAAAGAATCTCTATGATATAAAATTATAGATATTGAACTGCAAAAGCCACTTACATGAAAAATAGCCATTGCCTGAGACAACAACATTCGGTTTTCAGGAGAGGTAACTTTGCCACTTATCAGTCTCCATCTGATGTCAAGATGACGGAGGGGTCCAACATCAGTTCTTTCTTGCTTCTTCTGTATTATCTCCAAAGAAGAATCTGATAGCTTCTCGGCCCCACCAAGAAGTAACTTTTGCAATGTGGAGTTGATCCTCGTACAATCCATAGAGCAAAACCAGTTTCCTTTAGGTAATTCCTGTAAAAAAAAAAGATATTGTGATCATCACATCTTTGTGAATTAAATGAAATTGACCAAATAAAGGAATATATATCATTGAGTCAACAATTAAACAAGAAAATGGTCAACAATATTGTGAAATGATTGACCGAAAGGTAGAATATATTATTACTACAGTTTACCACATATAATGGAATAAATATATAAATGCAATGCATCATAAGGTGTCCATTAGTTCCTCAAGAGAGTTCTTGGAACCTAAACCTTAGTTTTCATAACAAAGACTTAAGTTTTTGGACCATTTGATTTAAAAGTTACATACCAAAAATAACACAACCATGGATTAGATATGGCTTTGCCACCGATCATGGATTAGATATGGCTATGCCACCGATCTTGAACGGCTCGGCAGTCCCTACTTGGTGTGTTTGGACTCTAAAGCACTTATAAGAATATATTATCTACCTGAACAACGTATGGTCTAAGCTAAAAGTATATGTATAAATGTATGAATGAAAGTGTATAACTAGGATTATTAGTCGCATATAACATAAAATCTTTTTTGGGGTTAAGAAATAACATAGAATCTATTTTACCAAAAATATGAATATATACAACTTTTGAGAGAAAGAGATAAATAAGTCTGGCTCATGGAAATGTTAAGATATAAAAGTCTACATATCCAAAGGTAAAAGATACGTGGCAGATATTATTAATCCATATACTTTGATATTTCATTCTCCAATATGTTGCTCATGCCTGCTCATCCAATTACCTAAACATTGTCTATAAATTGCCGATACATACAATAATAGTACAAAATGACTAACTTGAAAATTGAAACATAGTGAAAATTGTTGAAAAACTTCACTTATTGCTAGTAATGCTTCTTCCTGAGGGTCATCCATCCCCCTTCTTGCTTTTAGATGCCACATTTTCAAAATACTAATATTGTTGCTGCAAATGACCTTCCATTGAACCGTCTTCAGTCCAACTTCCAACTTCTTCAGTCAAGCTTCCAACTTCTTCTAAAAATGCTAATATGATTAACCAAGAAAAAAACAAATGCATAAAGGATAGCATTACAATCTTCAACTTGACAGCATTTAAATCTTGTGCGCCGAGATAATTTCTCAGTCTATTCAAGTATTCAACTCACTTTTTAGTAGTTCAAGTGATGACTTTTTAGTAGTTCAACTCACACAATTCTTATAGTGGCATAGAAATTTGATAGAGTCAGAGGAAAGAGCGAAGGATGATGGCGTGTAAGAGTTTGGTTATCGTTCTCATGATGTTTTTGGTATGTAGGTGTTGGGCTTTTGGAACAAAGAAAAAGGTTTGTTTCAATGCAATGGTACAGTAGGGGTTACAACCCTAATATTACATTAGGTGTATTCTATCAATTAGCAATTAATTAGGATTGTATGTAGATTTTTTTGGGATAGCTAATTGCATGGAACTACGACTTGCATATAACTACTATAATCTTGAATTCTATCTATCCTTTCTAAATACCTCTCAATCATATCATACTGTATATCATTTTTATTTAGCTTCTCTGTTTGATTTTTGGTGTAAACCTTTTTTGTGTGGTTCCTTTTGAAGTTTGGTTTTGTTTGATTTACTTCGGTGCGGTGAAAGGGAGTTACGTATCACCACCATTTGTTTGTGAGTTGTGACTATAATTTCTTTTAAAATTGATAAAATAAAATTTCTGAGTTGTGACCATTTTGTTGCTCATGAAAAAATCTGACTCTTTATTTCGTTTTATGGATATATATCAGAAATGCTATGATTGAAACTTGAAAAAGAGTGAGCTAATTAATTAAACACATGCGTTCGGATTCCCCTTATAGAAAATTTTAAGTATGGATTTTGTTTCGCTACGCATGGACTAACAAAATGCACCAAATTCAGGCTAATTTAAGATAATATCATATATATATATATATATGGTTTTGATTAGAAAAAGTTCTATTAGAAACCACCAACTACATTTAGACACGAAGTAATTGACTTTTTAGGTTTATTGAAAATATATGACCTAAGGAGTTACGTTAGTTCAGTTTAATATTCAATCTCTTCACTGTGCTTTTATCATCGATTTAACGGACGCTAAAGTAATGATATAAACGTCACTAATTACTGAAATATATGGTTTATACCTAAAGGATGTTAAGAGTTGAAGAAATGTCAAACTAAAATTCAATTCGTATTTGAAATGTAGATGAGTCAACAAATGGTTATGAATATCTTATAAAACCACACCAGTGCCAAATTTGGAGAAGGGAATTTCAACGGGAATTGTGTTTTGCTTTGCCTTTCATCACATTTTTGTAAATTGGAAATATAATTGACGGACGAGTCAAACTATCAGACTCTAAGTCTTAATCTTTACCAATATAAATCAACGCAAAATTAAAATACAATGTAGTTGCTTTCGTAATGGTTTTGTTAAGCATCATTAGCCATCTTGGCGTACAATTTCACCGTACCCTCATGTCGGTTTGAAAATTCTTTCTCATAGTCCCAACAACTATTTCTTTAGAATCATTTAATAGTTTTCTGAACATATCATAAAAATCATCCCTTTCTAAATCAAAGTCTTGTAAAACTATACTTTGTTACATAAAATTATATATACAGTAATATGTTTTTGTTGAAGAACGTATATATATTATAAAATCATCTTCTAAATTTTTTTAGAATTACATGAAAATTTGGAGAGTATTCTTTAAGAATAGTACACACAATAGTGAATTAATTGAGTGAAAATATACACAATTTTAAATTCAGAAATGTAATTGGATGCAATAAAAAATGTTAGAAGCCCATATCCCTTCACTTTACTCTCACGCCACTCTATCTCGGACATGTATAAATACCAACCAACATTTACTTCTAATTAGTTCAAAGACACACTATACTATTACTTAGACCATGTGCAACGCATGACTCTTCCCAAAAATTGAAGGGTATCTAAACAATAAACTAAAATAAAATAATAGAAAGATGAGAGAAAAAATAAGAAATGATTCTTGTTTAGGAGTTAGAAGATCCGATTCTTAGAGCATGTGCAATGCTGAGAATCTTAAAATTAGTATCTAAATTTGATATAAAATAATTAATTAATAGGTAACTACTTAAAATTTGACATGTGTACTCTACTCTCTTTTATTTCTTTAAGAATCGGATTTTCTAACTCCTAAACAAGAATCATTTCTTATTTTCTCTCTCATCTTTCTATTATTTTATTTTAGTTTATTGTTTAGATACCCTTCAATTTTTGAGAAGAGTTATGCGTTGCACATAGTCTTAAGGAAATAAAAGAGAGTAAAGTACACATGTCAAATTTTAAGTGGTTACCTATTAATTAATTATTTTATATCAAATTTAGATACTAGTTTTAAGATTCTCAGCGTTGCACATGCTCTTAGTCCCCAGATTATTTTAACCATGTCCATAAAACCGGCTTTAACCACCCCCATAGCCCTTTTCTCCACAATTTTTGCTCTCTGCGCAATCATACTGCCTTCCTCTCTCTCTTCTATTGCTACAACTATCATAACCAATTCTGAACTCGGAGCATTAACAATACATTCAACATTCTTTGGATACAGACACCACCATCATGATCATGATCACCATCATCATCACCACCACCGTCACCAAAAAAGTGTAGTGAGAAATGGACGTCAAGGCTTACACACATTTACAAGGCTTCTCTTGTGTTGACTGTTGATTTGAACGGTTGTGGTAACTTCAGCAAATTTTAAAGCGCCATCGATTCTGTCCCTGATCTAAGCCTTTCCAAGACTCTCATTATCGTCAATTCGGGTGTTTATAGGTCATTCCTTCAACTTCAAGCTCTTTTTGATAATTATTTATTAATTTTTATTGTTTAATATCAAATAGTTTTAATCATGTTTGGTTAAAATTTAATGTAAGTAAGCAGGGAAAAAGTTACAGTTAATGAGAACAAGACAAACATTGTAATGCAAGGAAGAGGATATCAAAACACATCCATTGAATGTAACGACACAGCAAAATCCGCAGGAGGCACTGTCTATAGTTTCTCTTTTGTTGTGTTTGCAGCTAACTTCACAGCTTACAATATCAGCTTCAAGGTATAAGAAAAAATCGAAATCGCAACAATGTGTAGATAAGATGATTTGAGTTCTCAAATGAGTTTAATTTTTTTTTGAGTGGTGGAAGAACAATGCGCCATAACCAGATCCTGGTGAGGATGATGCACAAGCAGTAGCTCTAAGGATTGAAGGAGACCAATGTGCTTTTTATGGATGTGGTTCTACGGTGCTCAAGACACCCTTTTAGATGATAAAGGAAGACATTTCTTCAAAGATTGTTTCATTCAAGGGTCCATAGATTTCATATTTGGAAATGGAAGATCACTCTATCAGGTCAACTATATATAATACATACATGAGCATTACATAAAATGACTATAACAATATGAATATATATCCTTAGCAGAATTGTACGATTAATTCGATAGCAAAGGAGAATACATCAGGGGTTACCGGATCCATCACGGCTCATGCAAGGCAAACAGAAGATGAACGGACAGGATTCTCTTTCGTGAACTGTAAGATAGATGGAAGTGGGAAAGTGTGGCTTGGACGAGCTTGGGGACCATATGCAACCATCGTGTTCTCCAACACTTACATGTCTGAAATCATCACTCCAGAAGGTTGGAATAATTGGGGTGACCCGAGCAAAGAAAAGTAAGTGGGGATACAAACCAAATTTCAAATCATACATAACACTTGTTTTAACTTATATAGGATGATAAAATCATAAAACTTGACAAGCATTTTTACACACACACACACGTTACAACATTACACAAAATGATTACGAAGAGAACCAAGTTTCTTATTACTAATTATACAATTAAGCTAATGTTCTTGTCAGATTCAGACATGACAAGCACACGTTATAGTTAAGCTTGCAAGCCTGTTTAACGAGCTAGAAACACGGATCTCTGTCGGAGAAACCAGAAAAAACATATTGCAAAAGTTTTCAACTTTTAAGACCTCTTCTTCCTCTTCAAGGCTGTATTGTCTTCTTACGTTCTAAATGCATTTTAACTTTCAGGACGGTGACTTTTGGAGAGCATAACTGCTATGGAGAAGGAGCAGATTACAAAGGGAGAGTCTCGTACGGGAAACAACTAACAGATTCTAAAGCATCTTCATTCACAGACATTTCTTACATAGATGGAGACCAGTGGCTAAATCAATCTAACGTACTCTCTGAGCTTACTTCTGAAGATAACAGAGACGATCTTATTGGATTTTACTAACGTATATAAAGATCATAATGCATAGTTACTCAAGAAAAAACCAATCAGATATGTACTATAAGTCTATTATAGGATAGTCACATTCACATCTAATTTTTAAACAAGACCATATTTGCGTATATATGTATTCGACTTGCTTGTGTTTACTTAGCTGCCTCATCCAATATCTAAATGATACATGATTTAAAAACGAGTTGTAACTCTATCTAAGAATTTTCACTAACTCACAAAGATCTGCCGGAATTATGTATGTCATAATTCACCAGGAATCGAGATCTCTTCCAATTGCCTAAAATATTTAGCATATCTGAAAGAAAAAAATTAGCAAAATAGCCACAAGAAAAACCTCAAAAATTGTCACATACTTAAAAACAAATAAACTATGATATTATAGGGATATTGATATATATTGGGTCGGTCCGGCAAAAGAAAGACATTTTACATTCGAGATCGATAATAATTTGAAGGATATGTCATGCTTTGCTATAACCAAAAAAAAAAAAAAATCGTTGAAAATTGATGAAAATCGTGTCATACATTGCCTTTGAATGCACATACCCACATTTCGCCCGTCAGTCCGAAAGAACCATTTCTACGATTTAACTCTTCCCTAAACTCACCAAAAAGAATTATGGCCTGTATGGATCACTTGCTTACCCGAATTTTACCGCTCTTAGAATTAAGCATATGATTTTTAAATAATGTTTACCTTTTTAATTAATTTTAGTTTTCTATTTTAAATGGATTGATATTGCTATTTTTGGCAAATTTTTAAATACGTGCCTTTGAATCATTTTTATTTCTTATGACGTGGATAATCAAATCTCACTGGTCAAAATAAATATTAAATTTTTTTTTTTTTGAAAATGAAAATAAATATTAAATTGCCATGAAAGACCGATAAGGCGATAACCATAAGTATACTATGTATAGAGTAATACGTAACCCAACGTATCTAATAAGATTTTATGATTCTCCCTAAAATGACATCATAAATCAACGAAAAATGTGGGTTTCTCTTTTATAAAAGCCTTTGGAAGCGTCAACACACAAATAAGAAAATCATTGGTAAGAACTAAGAAGAGCAAAGATGGGTTGTATTGTATAAGTTTGGTTATCATTCTCATTATCGTGTCTCTCTTTAGTGTCCACGATTGTAAGAAGTGGATCGATTCCTTCTTCAAAAAACCAAATATTAATAATAGATTTAGTCGTTAAGCATGTTGTATTACACTTTCGTACATAAGTATATTAGGTCATTACGAATTTAGTCCATTATTTCCCACAAGATATTGTTTTAACATTTTGAGAAAATAATTGTAGGTCAAGATATTAGATATCGACCATCCCCGGGAATAGAAAGATGCTTCCATAAATTCATGGGAAAGCCATGAACACTATCGAAAAATCATCAATTTGCTTCCCTTTCATCTTTTCGTAAAATTGCCTCAAACAATGTCAGGTCGCTACAGATGCAATATAGATGGAGATCAGTGGCTAAATCAATCTAACATACTTACATCTAAAGACAACAAAAACGATCTTATTGGATTTTACTAACGTATATTATATAAAGATCTTGATGCATAGATACACAATAAAAAACATTCAGATATAGATTATAAGTCTATTTCACATTCACATCTACTTTTCAAACAAGACCATGTTTGTATATATAATCGATTTGCTTTAGTTTCATTACCTCCTTATACAATATCTAAATGATTCTTAATATATAAACCAGTTGTAAATCTATCTAAGAGTTTTTCACCAACCTATATAAATAAAAAGGTCATGTTTGTGGCACAAACCACATTGTCATAGCTTAAGATAATATATAGTTAAAAACTGTACTGCCCCCGTTAACTGGTCTTAATGTCTTAAACTTTTGATTACATGTTTTTGTTTGTTTACTTTTTTTTTTTACTTATATTTGCTCAGGATTTGCTCATTTTTTATTCTATTCTTTTCAAAATATAGAACAACTATAATGTATTTATATAGTTATAGCCTTATAGGAAAACATGAAATACTGTATAAAAAGTAACAATTTTTATATATTCCATACAAAAACATTCTTGCTAGAATTTTTTTCAAATAAAAAAAATTGGTAGAAACGAAAACTTTTTATCCCAAAAGAACAAAAAGGCATATTGTGAATCTAGAAAGTAAACAAAAAAGAGTTTCACATCTACAAAAATCTACACAAATCTCTATTGTAAATTATAACATCAGAGAATTGGTAGAGTGACCTTCCATTTCAGGTCAACAACCAATACAAGAGAGGCGGAGGAAGGCCATGTGATTGCAGAAAGAGAGAGAATAGTGACAATAAGAACTTTGATGGACATGATTGAGGAAGATTAGCGTTTGATGGACTGTGAGGGAAGAAGATGAAGTTAAGAAGAAGAACTTTGAGAGTCTTGGAAGAAGTTCAGTAAATGATATTATTACTCACAACAACAAAAATGGAGGGAAGAAGATGAAGTTAAGAAGAAGAACTTTGAGGGTCTTAGAAGTTCAGTAAATGATATTATTACTCACAACAACAAAAATGGGTGGGGGTAATTAAAAAATTGTTTAATGCATCGAACTATAAGTCTATAAGAATAACTTTAATGAACAAGAAGAACTCTAATGTACTCTTGAGGGAAGAACATCAGCAAATGATATTATTACTCCCAACAACAAAAATGGGTGGCGGTAATTAAAAAATTGTTTATTGCATCGAACTATATATGTTTGTAAGTCTAACTAATGACAATTAATAAGAAAGTAATAATCTTTATATAAATGTAAACAAAAACATTCTTGAACCTAAAAAGTAAACAAAAAGCATCTACAAAAATTTACACACGTCTCTAATTAAGTTGTAACAACTCTTTTAAAACCTAAAACCTCCACTCTTTTATCCATCTTTGTCCAAATCCATGACTTGCTTTACCTCAACACAAAAGATGAACATACGGCTCTTTGGGTTGTTTCAAATCAAAATTTTCTTCTAAAGAGACGCCGGTTTCGATTTTCTTGTCAATAATTTGGTTTGAATGAACCGGTTTTTGCAGCATGGATGATCCTTTGAACCTCACCATTTGGTAGCACACCTTTATATACTTGCTGAGCTGTAAAAATGAAGGGTTTAATGGTTATGAGGTTCTCTTAGAACAAATTTTAGAAACTACACAATTCACAAATGAGTCAAATCCATCGTTTTTACCTGTTCAGGTGCGAGTTTTCTGAACCCAAATTTGTTCATCCAAAAGGGCTCTGCCTCTTCAGCTGCTGGAACCACGATGCTTTCGACATTCAGGAACGAGAGTAGCTTCTCAACGCAGGAAAAGAGCAATTGAAAGTATCCCTGTTTTGTGTAAAACCCCATGAAACTCGGTTAAGCAAGGAACCTCAGGAAACAGAAGTTATCTTCTAGAAACAGGTTTTAAAACGGACAAGAGAAGACATTACCTTCTCTCGGCTGCACACGCGGGTTGCAACTAAAGGAAGTTCTGCAACCTCTCGGCCAAATACTCGTAGTAGTCCAGCGGAAACAACAGTTGCACTACATAAATCGGCAGCGGAAAAAGCCAAATCAATGGTTAGCCGCAATAACGATATATATAGCATCTGGTTAGATATAATCGAGGGGAAAAAATCTTACTTTACAGTCAAAACAGCACAGCAGATTCCCCCGTAGTCTTGTCCTTGTATACTCTTCCTAAACAAAGTTGCGATTGTTAGTGATATAATTGAAAGTGTTTAAAGGGTCAAAATCAGGCTACTTGATGCAGGCATTGATGGAAGAGTCCTCACCCGTAAACCATTCTCGGAATAAGATTGTGCCCAGAAACTGGATCAACTATAGGATCAAAGCAATCCTGCAAAAAAAAAGGCATTTAGCAAATTCCTATTGATCAGAGACAAATTTACGAGGGACAAACATTTGTCATGGCTATGCCAATTCGTCCTTTGTCTTACAGTACCAGTTATCAGACCGAAACAAAAGAATCTCTATGATATAAAGTTCTAGATATTGAACTGCAAAAGCCACTTACATGAAAAATAGCCATTGCCTGAGACAACAACATTCGGTTTTCAGGAGAGGTAACTTTGCCACTTATCAGTCTCCATCTGATGTCAAGATGACGGAGGGGTCCAACATCAGTTCTTTCTTGCTTCTTCTGTATTATCTCCAAAGAAGAATCTGAAAGCTTCTCCGCCCCACCAAGAAGTAACTTTTGCAATGTGGAGTTGATCCTCGTACAATCCATAGAGCAAAACCAGTTTCCTTTAGGTAATTCCTGTCAGAAATATCATATTGTCCTGTGTAAGCTGAAATCAGGGTGGAAATGTCTATGTATTGAGCTAATCTGTTCACAAACGCAGAAGACTGTAAGCTGGGGATAAAGCTATATGCGCTCACCTTTAAATCCACAATGTTCCGACTACTCAGACATCCAATGTGGTACTCCTTTTCACACTGTTGCAAAAAAAGAGACAAGTACCAGTAGTAATTAGTTTGATATGCAAATTATAAAATAAACTAATTTAAGATCTTGCCAAGAAAGTACCTGATCACATATTATGATTGTCTGGGGACCAAATCCGGATCTGCAAAAATCAGAACCACTGTGGACCAAAAACATTATTAGCCAAGATACGTAATACATATATACTGGATTAGTTTTATCTGTTTAATGTTCGCCAGAAATACAAAAAGGCGACTATCACATCAAAACCTATGCTTATAAGACACGTTTACATAGACCAAATGGTCTGTCAAAACAGGGAATATAATACCTATAACATAGGCCTAATGGTCTTCTGAAACAATTAATTCTAAGATAGACCTAATTGTTGTCTCTCAGTACAGGTAATACCCATGTACCTCGAAGAACATTGGAGTCAAATGATTTTAAGTAAACAGAAAATTAAGAAGAAGAATTTAGACTTAGCCAGAATGATTACCTGCATAGTACACACCCATTTATTTCAGCTTCCATGTTCTTGACAACTCGAATGCATCGTCCAGCTAACTGATCAACATGATCAACTCCTTCTAGTTGACCAGCTGCAGAAGAATTAACATTGTACTCTCCAACAGTTTCGCTCTTAGACTTTTTCTCGCAGTATTTGCATTGCCAGTTACCACGAGGAATACTTGGAAGGGAAACGCATTCTACATAGACCAGAAAGATATGTTGAGCAAAAGTGGTCAAAAATATAAATAGAGTGATCCAAAACATAAGAATGTCAACAGACCCTTCTGTTTTAGAGACTTGATCTGAAATTCAGTAAAGTGGCTAAAATGGCAAAGGTTTTTCGAAGTAATCCTGCTTGTAGATATACCCATATCTAATTCTAGATCAGAATGATAATAATACAATTAACTAATTTTGCATGCAATATTTTACCACCAAGTAAAGGCAAAATCATAAGAGAGATAGAGAAAGAAAGTGAAATGCATGCTGCAAACTGATTTAAGTAGAGCTTTACCTATGTGGAAGGCTCTGGGGCAGCTATCGCAGAGCAAAAGATTTCCACCATCAGCGCAAATAACACACAAGTTGTCATTTTCATTAGCAGAATATTCCCGACCTTGCGAGAAAGTAATTGCCCATTCGTGAAGAGACACACCATTAGATGTATATATGTAAAAATAACTGCAGCAAATAGAGAATAATCAGATATTTATGGGATGAACAAAAATCCACTGTAAAGAGACAGGGGAGCAAATTTCGCACGGTTTTCTACGAGATGCCCAGCCTGCATGAGCTTCGAACAGAGAGGCGCTCACCTGCACGCCAAATGCCAAATTAAGAGCTAACTGATACGGCGTAATGTAGTGTGTATAACATCCAGAAGTACCTCAGACTTGCAGCAGTAACAGTATATTCCAGCACCCATTTTGTAGCCTCCAAGCAATTTCTGCCCACAGTGATATTTATGTCTTAAAAGAGAAGGTCAGGTGAAGAGGTATATAACCAAACATAGGATAAGGTAAGTAACCTGTCCACGGGCGTAGTATCCTAGTTCAGTTCCATCTGGTAATCCCCCTTTCTCAAACACAAACTTATGAAATCCGTGATCCCTGTATGTAAAAGGAGATATATGTAAAACATCAAAGACGGAAACCAGACAAAATAAACAGAATTAAGGTTGCTATAAATAATTGATACTAACTTTCTCGTTGCTCTATAACTCCTCTTTTTTGGAGAAACAGAGAGGGACACGCTTTTTAAAGCCTTGGGGTTCACAGAATGTTGGACCACCCTTCAAGAAATACAAGGAAACCAGACACTAAAATAAGACTCTTTATCATCAGTGCTAGTTTGGCTAACATCATCATGAAGTCAAGGTACCAACATCTTCTTAAATTTAGATTTGCACTTATTTTGTGAAGATATATTTGCAGAAGCATTCAGAGCCTTCCCAACCAAAGCTTGACGTAATGCCCTGAGACGCAAGGTGATGATATAAGATTTGATAACCAGATTCAAGAAAGAAAGCATGCAGTATATACTATAAACAACATGCCTAAGCGACACCAAAATTGCAAACAGAGTCCTATCTTATGGTTTAGAAAAGTGCAGTTTCTTCATGCAATGATTGATAAAGATGCAAGATCTACAACAAAATGGTACCAACTTTCTTGTGATCTTTTGAGTGCTATTTCCAAGTGGTGACATAGATACATGAGATTTTGACGTGGATTCTGGTGGCCTGAAAAGACAAAACAAGACAGCACAGAATTGAATACTATACTCATGCATGATGCCCAAAGAAAATCGTTTTTGGCCACACATAAAATGGAAATCTAAACAGATAAAAGAGTACATAAAATAAAGGTTACCAACTTTATTATTATCTTCAGTCTGCTCTTAACCGGAGATGTTATACATGCAGGAGCACTAGTTGATGTCCTCGTAGCAGCAGGGCTGGTCTGAGAACTTTCTAACTCTGAGCATGACGAACACAGAAACCCTCTATGGCCAATAGAGGATAAAGGGAACAAGCCTAGAAGCCAAAGACATTAAGTTCAGTTTTGACCGGAAATCTATGAAATCGATACATTTTAGAACAAGGTGAAATACGTTTAACAGACCCACCTTTGCATAATTTACAGGTGAAACGTTTTTCTTTAGACACGCTATCAACAGCATCAAGAATTGCTGCTTCAAGAGAATGTAGAGGAGCGTTCCTACAAATCTTCAGAATATCTAGCAGGCTCTTACCATTCTCAAAGCAAATATATTGTGATGCTCGTCTATATTGCTTAGTAGCATGAATCTCAAATTTAGAAGTTGAAATAACCTACAAAAAAGAATGCATGTGCTTTATGTATACCTGACTATGTCTGATAGAATTACAAGAGATCATTCAAAGTCAACCTGCATTCTGAGTTGCAGAGTGGAAACAGAGTCTTACATTAGCCCAATCACAGGATGAACAGGAACACAAAATTCCACCATCTTTGATGATGCCACGGAGACCAAAGGCTTGAGACTGGAACATAAACCAAACCACCTCTTAGACTAAGCTAGAATGAAATGGTCACAAAAGAATACAAAACAAAAAACAATATAGCCCAACCTTAACAGTACCCATGTAAACCACAGACACACCATCGAGTATACCGGTCTCAAAAAGTTCCCTCACTGTAGCCGGCCTTTTGCGGATTAAATTGGGCATGTCAGCCAGACTCACAGAACGAGTCTGTTCATCTATCTCCTCACGTTCAAAGTCTGATTCTCCCAGAACCTCTTTCTCCTTAGCCACTAAACTGTTTACCTTCTTCACTCTCAAAAACGATTTATAGATCTGCGTTGTAGTACGCTTTAAAGATCCATGCCTACTCTTCTCCGATTCCCAATAGGGTTTTCCCATCGTTCTCCCTTTAGTTCCTACTCTCCCTACCTCAAAATCCAGGCTTCCTTCCGCCAGAATTTCAACAGGAACCGCTTCATGTAACATTTCCACGAAATCGATGTCATCAATTACAACATCCACTAACGAGCCACTGTCATACTCAGTATCCCGTTCTTTGAACTTCTCTGCTTCCCGAACTTCAGCTATGCGCTCTTCCGTAGCGATTTTCTCGACGGGGCTCTCAACAACTGTATTGCTAGTGTCAGCTATCGAGTCGGTGTCGCACATATCACCTGAGGAAACTGTAACGCCGGTTGTTGGTTTCGAATCCTCGAGACGATTTGACATTCTATTTTCCGAAAAGCCACCATTTTCGTCTTCTTCGTTAAGCTTGGCGAATTTAGTCTTCCTGGTTCTGGTGTAGACAATAAAACCATTGACCTGAGTCGTTTTGATTCTCTTACAGCTAGTCCTACTTCTGTCACCACCTTCCCCACACGCACCGTCTACGGCCATCCGCTTAACCGGAGGTTCACAAACCGAACTGATCCCGCCGCCGCCACCGCCGCCGCCTATCAAACGGGCCACAAACGCTTCCTTCATTGCAACAAATCCGCTCCACGGCTAAACCCCGTAATTGAAATCTACACAGAACAGAGAGGAAGAAGGAGAAGCAAACTGAGATTAAAAGAGAAGAACCAGTGACGAATCGATTCAGCAATCACACATGATTTAACCTAATCGGAGAAACCATGGCATTCAAAAAGGGTAGCTTTTCTGAATAAAGTGAATCTGGTGTAGAGAAAAACGAAGCAAACCTTAAAAGAGTCTTGAAACCAGTTGATTGCGTTGGGAGCTCAGAGACGAATCGACGGAATTATCAGGATTAGTAGTCAACATCCGATCAAAACTCGAAATCGATGACTGAATTAGGGTTCAGGGGAGGCTTCATACATGGATCTGCACGAAGGTGATGAAACAAAATCCTGAGGTGGGCTATTGGGATTTTGCAGCCATTGGGAGGAAGATAGAGAAAAAAAAACAGTAAATTACAGTCTACCGAGCAGTGGCAAATTTTGTAAATATTAATATTTTTAAGGGTAGTTATTTAAGAGAGTAAAATAGGGCTCAAGGTCCCGGATTTTTTATTACAACGCAATTAATAGCGTTTATCATTTCTTCTCAAAATAATTGCGTTTACACTTTTTTGAGATATAAACGGGTGAGTAGCGTTATGCAGCGCTTATGTAAATTCGATTCGAGATCAATACATATCAAGCATGGTGTTTAATATTCCTTCTGTTTCATAGTGTTATTTGGAGCAAATGTATTTAGATGTATTAAACTCAAAACACATTCATATACATCCGATTATAATGTAGATATATTTTTTTCTAAATGACATTTATTATAAAACAGAGTAAAGAAAGAAAATCTCATAATGATATTTCATTTAATAACAAACGTTTAATTTTTTCTTCCTTTCTCGGATTTTCATTTCGACACTTTCTCTCTAATCTATATATGCCATCATTTCTTGTTTTCAAATGATAGTGCGATTGAACTTACTCTAATTTATTTTCTTCTCCATGCAGCAGTCTTTTCGTTTTTTATACAATGTAGGCTAACGACAACATTGGAATCTGATTACTCTTTGTACTTTTTCACTAAATCTTCATCTAGTTTTGCCTCCAAATTCATTCAATCGGAAGTGGAACGCAGCGTTTTGTACCGTTCTCGTTGTAAAATTTCATCGTCAATAGGAAAATGCCTTGGGTGTCATAAACAGTGTAACCAATAGACGACACATATCCTCAAGAACTAGAGAACAGCAACAACAGCAACAAAAAAAATGATCTACTTAACTTACTAATAACATATATAATGATTGTATCAATGAACATTCAATCCAACATTTCTTGTTAACTGTATTTCTACATTATATTATAATAAAATAAGAAATTGTAGCCTGTAGACAATTATTCGTTTTGTTTCCAGAAAGTCTCATCATCTTGCATTTGTGTTTGTTCTTTCTTATGTTCTTTTATGAAGCAAAGGGATCCAACAAAAAAAATGTTCATTGACAAGTGATCTTTTTTTTTCTACAATTCTTAAAAGTCTACTTGAATCTGATTGGAGTGGTAACACGGTAGCGATGTTAATGAGAATTAACGCAGTAAAATCCCAATCGAATTAAAATATAAAGTATATAGTATAGGGACTCAAAGTCAAAAACTCAGCGTCAACTCATAAAACAATAGGGTAGTAATTTTATAAAAAATGATACAAACACACAGATGGAAAGGGGTAGTAAAATACAAACCAGAAGAAGATACATACATCTTCTTCTTCTTCAATCCCACATCGAGGAAATGCCAAAGGATCCGATCGAGTTGCCCTATCTACATATATAAGAGAACCCGCTGGTTGAGACAGGGGGTTTCCAGCTTCCTGAGGTTCTTCAGAGAAGAGCCAACACCACCGTCATGTTTTGGTGTTGTGGAGAGAGTTTCATACGATGCTTCAGTGCTTTCTTTATAGTCTCACACAGATACATATATATATCTATATAAATTATATAACATATGTCCCTCGTACGCTAGCAAAATTTCCTCATATTCGATTTGTATTTTGAATAATATATAATGTGATGATGTTTTACACTCTAGCACTATGTTTGAAAGAAAAGAGTTGATGGGTCGAGAAATTGGGAATCTTCCAAGGGATATGCCATATTTCCATTGGCTACTCTTTTCACTTCAGCTCCAATCATACTCCACCACAAGTTATATCATATTGTCATAAATCATTTTACTTTACTTTCTCGCTTTACTTTAAGAATATGGAAGGATACAATTTCATTAAACATCTTTTATAATGAATATGTTAGTGTAATACCTATGAAAGTTCATCAATCCTAAGATGGATCATACGTATGCGATGACTTGACGTATTGTATCTTTTCAACTTGTTACTACGTAAAAATCAATCAAATAACTAATATTTTGGGCATGCAATAATTTGTATTCTGGTTCTTATATATTTTATACCTATGATATAAACATAAGAGGATTTATTTTGATTTGCTTATAACACAGAATGAATGATAGGGAGATTTTCTGTTTTTTCAAATCTCCTTATGATATTTTACTCTCTAGCACTATATTTGAAAAACATCCACTGTAAACATACTAAACATTGTACTGCTATAAAATTTAACCCAAAAAGTAATGGTATAAGGAGATTTTTTTTTTTTTACAAAGAATAGGTTCATTTTTTGAAGGAAAAATGATTATCAGCTATACACCAACTATACCCATCACAAATGCTTTATAGAGTTAACTTTCTTAATTGATTTTCTTTTAAATTATTGTAAAACTACATAGGATGAGAATTGAGAATCTTCCATTGGATATGCCATATTGCCATTGGCTACGTCTTTTCATTGTAGCTCCAATGGTACATCCATTTCTATATTCCAAAATTTGATTTTACACTTTCCATAGGAACACAGAAATAATGCTACATATCTGAAAAATAAAGTATATAAGATTGATTTCATAATGTTCTTACATATTTTTGAAAAATTGGTGATATTGTATTTCATTTTAGCATTCACATTACCTCCACAAAATGTTAAAATGTTGAATCAATCCTGTCAAAATTAAGAAACTAGAAGTGAAGTGAAGTTAAAAAGGTGGATTCGGATCACTTGTCAAGTGCAACTTGAACAAATCTAATAACTCAAAGACGGATACATACTCAGGACGAGGATCATATCCTGAGAAGAATCTATGAACCGACCCTCCCAGCTCCAGACAACTCTCTCCGGCTATCTTCTTCATCTTACTTTCCTTCATCACTCTCCTAACTTCTGCTGCATCATCCCACATCCTCGCTTCCGCAAACCTATTCGCCACAATCACCAAGTTGCCACTCCTGTTTGGCTCCAACTCAATCAATCTCTTCTTCACTTTCTCTCCAATCCCATCACCATCTTCATCGTGATGGATACCGCAAGCTGAGAGTAGAGTCCTCAAAACAACCGCATCAGGCTCAAAAGGCATTCTCTTTATCAACTCATACGCCTCGTTTAGTCGACCTGCACGTCCCAAGATATCTACCATTGCCCCGTAATGAATCATCATCGGCTTGATCTTGTGTGTTCTCTCCATCTCGTGAAAGTATCTATACCCTTCCTCTACTAATCCCGTGTGGCTACAAGCACATAATACACCTAGAAACGTCACGTAGTTTGGTCTCACCGATGATTCTTTCATCATCTTCGAGAAAAGCTGAAGGGCTTCTTCTGCAAATCCACTTTGTGCTAATCCTACAATCATCGCGCTCCAAGTCCAAACATTTTTGTCATACATTCTTTCGAAAACAAACCTAGCATACTCTAATCCACCAGATTTCGCATACATGTCGGCAAGTGCAGTACCTAATCTACAGTTTAACTCTAACTCTCTTACCATCATCTGTGAATGCACCAGTTTCCCCAAGCTCAAGTTACCGGCACAAGCAGAGAGCAAAACCACCATTGTCGTCTCATCAGGACAAAAACGCTCACCGATCATATCGAGAAAACACTCGAACGCCAAACTGAATTTACCGTTCTCGACGAGAGCAGTCATGATAGAGTTCCAAGAAACAACATTTCTCTCAGTCATTTCGTCGAACACCTTTCTGGCATCCGAAGTTTTCTTACAAGAACCATAGAGATGGATCAGATTGTTCCCAACATACACATCAGAATCAAACCCATGTTTCAAAACCTCAACTTGGATCTGTCTTCCTGCCGTGAGACCGAAAAATGAAGCGCAAGCCTTGAGAAGGAAAGGGAAAGTGAGCTTGTTAGGACTGATTCGTCGTCTCTTCATCTCAGAGTAAACACAAATCGAATCTACAGGGGAATCACTTGAAGAGTAGCCTCTGCTGAGCATATTCCAAGTGGAAGGAGTCGAATCAGAAGAGTGAAGCAGAAGGGTTCGCGCAAAGGCAAGATCTTTGGATTGAGAGAGCGAAGAAACTCGGACAAGCTCGCTGATGATAAAGCTGTCAGCTTGAAGACTGGAGATATGTATTTGGCCGTGGATCTGTAAAAGATGTTTAATGGAGGAACAGAGCTTGAGGAAGACAAGGCATTGGTGTTTCTTGGATTTGAAGCTTGAACTCATATTTTTGGCGGTTGAATCTGAACTAAGAAATCACTTACGGATGAAAACGTTCGAATTCAAATCGGGTTTGATTTATATAGCTTTGGAGTTTAAATTTGACTGAATCGAAGTAGTATCCCAAAAAAATTCATTCAATGTTATATTACATGGATTTGCAAAGAAGGCCTACAAAATATAGAAAATTACACTTTCTCTCTGAAATTGTGATGGTGTTGTGTAGGTTCTTGTAGGGAGGATCGATTTCTGTTGTTTCCATTTCAAGCTCTGACCATGAAAACTTCCTCCACGAATGTTTCATCTCACTTCTGAGTTAAACCAGCCATAGCATCTCTGAAAACCAAAATCATTTGATGATTTTATACAAAGACTGGTCTCGGTAGTGAAGAAATCATGTGAGATTACGACTGTGAGTTCATGATGATGTTCATGGAAACCAAAAGCTTCTTAATATACGAACAAACCATGGAGGTTCGTTATTAATCTGAATCCGAATCCGAGTCTTCACTCCCTTCTGGAGTCTCGAACCTATAGAAAGGAGCTGAGTTTCTGAGGAAAAACGATCTGTCTTTCTTGGGAACCTTTGTTCGCTTTTGTGTTGTAGCAAATCCTTTCACCACAAGTGCATCAAACAAATCTCCCATCTCCATTTTCTTTCTCAAACCATTGTGTTCGTCCATGAACCTTCACAGATCCCAAAAAACATAAGACGTTTGCAACACATCAGATTCTAGCACAAAAGTTTTTTTTTAAAAAAAGAGAATGTGTAGCCATGGTAAAACAATGAATCAACACTCCTATAAGGTTAAATCTAAGAGAATCAAATAGTTACCTTTCTCGTATTGCTTTGAAGGCTTCTGTAGTTGCATAAGGAAGACCAGTTTTTGGATCTCGATACCTATATCACCGATAAACTTGAGAACTTGCATAAAAAAAGACTAGAACATAGTTTCTTCAAGTAGAAAATAAAAAAAAACCGATAGCTTCTCTTCAATATAGCTTAAAAGAATCTAGCTGTGTTCGTTCCAGGAGATCTTTGTGTTTTCTGGACAAAGTAGAAGAAGAATAGAAAAATTCTTACTTGGCAGGTAATCCACTAATCACACATACAGCTTCTTCTGGATCTGCAAAAGAGAAAACAAACTAAGATAAAGATTGATATCAATACAGAATTACAGGTAACAGAACACATTTCAGTTCTCAAACAAATTTACTTACATGGAACAGACTTGGTCGAGATCTCTGAACTGAATGATGCACCATTACAGAATTCTATATAGTTGCATCCTGCATGTATAAAGAAGTTGGGCATTCTAAATAGTTGCATCATGCATGTAAAAATTAGATGAGAAAAGCATTTTACTGGAGAGCTTACCATCTTTTGAAAGGTACCGAATCTGAGGACCCTTGTAAACCTCTTTATGCACAATCGCTTTCTTTTTCACTTCTTCTTCCCTTGCCAAGACACGTTCTAAATTCCTCAAGTTCATGATTTCTGCCAAAAAACCCAACTTTTAGTTTTAGCCATTTAAAGTTCCTGATAGAAAAAAAAAACGGATTGCAGGATCATAAACCCAAAACCTGTTTGAGCAGCTTCCAGCAGCATTTCTTCTTGAGTCATCCGTTTTTCCTCCCCTACTTTTTTCCTTTGTATTGGCTGAACAAACAAACACAGAAACGGATTCAACATGGTACAACTTAGAAAGATCCAAAGAGTAGCCAATACATGTATAAGAATCCTGAGGAAAACCTTTGTTGTCGCCTGTATAGCAGCACGCAACGCATCTCTTTCTGCTTGCCGTACAATCACTGAAGTCCGCGTTGATTTTCTTATGACCTTCTCACTTTCCATCTCTTCACCCAATGCTTCGTTCTCTTCTTTCTCGTCTTGTTCCTTGTCTCCCAATGCTTCACCTGGCTTCTCATCTCCACGAGTATCTTCTATATTCGAAACTAACTTCTTCTTCTTCTTTTTCTTTGTATTAGTTTTACCAGGGTAAATCAGCCGCTTCTTCGGCAAATCCCTGCAACAGTATGCAAAAAATTGCAATCATGAGATGAAATTCGTGAAACTAAAGAGACATTTATACATAATAGCAATCATGAGATGAATTTCGAAGATGGTCAAACCTCTCTTCTTTTTCATTTTCTGCTACTGATTCAGGCTCAGGCTCCTAATCCCACACACAAAAAAGAAGAAGCAAAAGAATAAAATTCAAAAAATGGAATTCGAGCAACACTTTGATGAATAAAGTAGTGATTATACAAGAGAGATATAAAATTACATCGTCATTGAAGTCGCTGTCAAACTCATCAGCAACTTCAGCTTCTGCTTCATAGTTATCATCATGTTCTTCCTGTACATAGCAAATGTAAAGAGATGTATCAATGACATATTACATTAGCCTGCTTATCTACAAACTGTCCATCCTCTTCAACTTACAAAGAAGAGAGTATGATAGATTTATATAAAGAGAAAAAGAACCTCTTTAAGAGCTTCTTGATTCCAAAACTGTTCATCCTCTTCAACTTCGTCATCAAGCAGCTTGGTCATCCTGCAAACAGAAAGCTAATAAATTCAAGACTCCAAAAGAGAGTTCTGGTCATCTCTATTACATTAACACAAACACACAATTTGTTCTTTACCGTTTGCCCCGTGTTGCTCGGGTTGTCCGGTCCAAGAAAACCACTTGCTCTTCTTTATCGTTTTCCATTGATAAGTTGCTCGCTCTTAGCTCTTCAACTTCACGCTTTTAACGAAATCTGACAACACACACGCAAAATTTAGGGTCCCTGGCAAAAAGCATACGGCTTGCGAAATTCCAAAGCTTTACGATTGTATCTAAATCTCGAGAGGCGAAAAAGGAGCAAACCCTCAAAAAGTTAAGTGATAAGTAATTTGTTGATGAGCTGAAATCTCGCTCGAGAATTACATTCGGAGGATCAGGGTGGAGGAGTTTCTTCGACGACCACGTCCTCGCCGGAGACCGCCGCACTGATATTACTGTCGAGTTTCGCACTTTGATTCACTCTTTTTTCACATGGCTCACTGGTTCGTGCACCCATAGTTATTGGACCCTTATTGGGCCTTCTAATAGACAGTTTTGAAGCCCATTTTATATTTGGAGCATGTGGAGTGTATCGGACAATCACTGCACTTTGTACAGCAGATTTGAACAAATAATGACTTAGGGCACACTCAAAAGGTTTTAAAACTTGTAATCCTTTCATCTTATTATAATTTTTCTTTGCCTAATGTATCGGCATCCTCGAATTTTGATTCTTATTATGTCATGTCCACAATTTCATATTTCCACCCATATTCAGGTGTTATATTAGTAACTAATGTCACAAAATTTTACCACATGAAATTAATATGAAATTCAATTTCCCGTTTATAATGTTATCGCTCAACATTTGGTTTCTAAATACTAAAAGAGCATGCTATTATTGTACCCTTAAACTAATGTTGTTTAAACAAATAGCACTAGAATCATTGAAATAATCAATTCGTTGTCACGAGGGGGACAGTGTTGTTGATAAGCCTTCAACAAGAAAACAAAAACAATGTTGATAAGTCTAACCAATATCAATTATCAAAGTTGCACTCCTCAGGACCACTAAAATATACATTAAAAAGTTTTTTTTGTTTCTACGTGCTATAAATAGTTTTCATATTTTTAAAGGAAACTTAATACAAATTCGATTACCCAATCTTACATAACTTATTAAAATATTACATGATCAATGATGTAATCAAAACCAACGTTACAAATCGATCAATTATTGGATTGTGCTAGTTGCATTATGTCTTGTAAGAAGAATGTAATGTTAGAATGAGAAGAGCCTCCTTCCTCCACAGCATTGTGAGCTAATGCTCCAAGCTCTTTGGCTCTTCGTCTTCTCTCCTTGGCATCATCACTCTCACCCATTAATTCTTCTACTGCATTCTTCACTCTTTCTTTATCTACCAACACTCCAATTTTCTCCTCATCTCCAAATTTCATGACCTCTTCAACCCCGACAGCTACACCTGCTTTTAGCACCTGCACGACTAGTTTCTGGTTGCAGAATTGGTCTCCAAACAATGGCCAAGTGATCAGTGGAACTCCCGAGGTGATTCCTTCAAGAGTCGAGTTCCATCCACAGTGTGTCAAGAATCCTCCAACAGAAGAATGTGAAAGGATAAGCAATTGAGGCGACCATCCTTTGATGAGAAGCCCCCTCTCTTTAGTTCTTTCTTCGAAACCGCTCTCCAAGATCCACTCACCTAGCTCATCATACTTCTCCCAACTTCTTATGACCCAAATGAAAGGTCTTTGAGATTCCTCGAGACCTAGACCGAGCTCCTTGAGCTGAATTAGAGGAAGATTGCATATGCTTCCAAGGCAAACATATAGCACCGACCCTTCTTCTTTAGAATCAAGCCATTTAATACACTCATCTTGATCAATGCCCGCCTTGTTTCCCCTTTCAGCTTTGTCTGCTCCCACCTTGTTGCACAAGGAAACGGGTCCAATAGACCATACTTTGCCACCCCTAGCCTCCTTGTAGTCTTTCACATAAGCGTCTTCGAGCTCTTGAAATGTGTTGACGACCACACCATATGATGTGTTATCCGCTTCTACCTGTTCGTCCAAGATTTTATTCCAATCTCCATTAGCATTTGTTACCACAGTAACTTGAGGTTTCTTAAATTCAACTCTATCAGGAAAACCAGGAACCAAGAAATACTCTTTGTCCGACTTTACAGCCTCTATGATCTCGGAGTTTCCGTGTATAATATGCATACACAACAGACAAAAGCAAGATACCCCATGAAAAACGATCTTCGGGATATTGAACTTCTTGGCGATTTTGCTTGTATAAGGCAAACAAAAATCAGATATTAGACAGCTTGGTCTAGGTTTCATATCTTCAATGAGCTTCATGACCGGATCTTCGAGCATGTTAACGGCTTTAAAGAAAGGTACCAACAACTCCAATGAGTCAAGCGAATCTACATTCTCTTGTCCTTCCGGCAAACCAGCTTCTTGAGATGGAAACTTCACATGCTCCAGCCTAACGGGCAAACCGGACTGGATGGCACGGCCTAGAACATTCTTGAACCTCGCTGCGTTGTGAGCCGTAGTGACAATTGTTACGGTCGCACCACGCTGAGCCAAGATCCTTGCAATATCGACCATGGGGATCATGTGGCCTTGAGCCATGAAAGGGAAAAGAACAAAGTGAAGAGGAGGATAAGATTGGCGGGTAGTTTCGGAAGCCATGAGGAACTCTCTAGGTTATCTTTTGTTTTTGATTCGTATTGTTGTGTTGTGTGCATGTGTGTATTTGTCTTTGCATATATATATACTGTACTTAATTTATTAAGAATAAAAGGGAAAAAACTTGGACGTCAAGGAAATAATAAAAGTGATGTATGAGAGAACATGTAAGCAAATTGGCTTATTCCTTACAAAACACAATATGGTTCAGAGAGACAAGTATGTTCCGTGGCGGGCACTCATGTGTTCTTTTGTGAAAAGAGTTCACGGCCGCAAAAAATAATAAAAAGAAGAAAAATCAAACTTGAACTCTCTATTTCTCTCAATAGACAACTTACATAATATTAAAAATAACATCTTCAAATTAAGAAAACTTAATCAAATTGGCGTATTCGTTACAAAAAGCAACATATGGTTTACAGAGATTAGCACAGTACATTTCATGGCGGGGACACTTGCATGTGTCCTTTTGTATTCATATAACTGTAAGCCAAAAAGAACTAGAGACACATTTTTGAGAACTACGTTAAAAATATAGGTCACAGCCGCAAAAAATAAAATATGGATTAACGAATAAAAGAGAAAATTCAAACTTAACTCTCTATTTTTCTCCATAGACATCAATACATATTTCCAACATAAAGGCCCACAATTTATGGATGAGTCTTTTAATCACCAGAACTATAAAAAAGAAGAAAAGAAAAAACATGTTCGCATGGCTAATATCATTTGATTGAATAGTTGACCCAATTCCTTATTATTAAAAAAAAATCACGAAATAGTGTTGAAGTTTTTTGGTTACATAAGTGTTGCGCATAGAAAGATTAATTATCTGGATTTAGAACTGAGTAAAAAAAATGTGTTAGAACTTAGAACTCAGAAAATGCTGGAACTAAAACTTAAAAAAAAAAAAAAATTGAATCTAAGAAGAATTATTTGGTATTCAGAAGGGATTAACAAGTAGAGTAACTGCGTCTGTGTCAACCGTCAATAAATTTGAAGCTTAACACTCACATCCGATAAAAGAGATAATTTGAATAAAACTCACAAAAAAATGATAATTAAACTCACACCATTTTGGAGCTCAACACCCAATTCTTGAATTTCAATTGTTGCATTATGTCTTGTAAGAGCAATGTGATGTTAGCATGAGAAGAGCCTCCTTCCTCCACAGCCTTGTGTGCTAATTCTCCAAGTTCTATGGCTCTTCTTCTTCGCTCATTTGCATCCTCACTCTCACCCATCAAGTCTTCCACGGCTTTCTTCACTCCTTCTTTGTCCACCAACACTCCTGTTTTCTCTTCTTTTCCCCATTGCATAGGCTGCTCAACCCCGACCCTTACACCGGCTTTTAGTACCTGCACAACCAACTTCTCGTTGCAAAACTGGTCTGCAAATAGCGGCCATGTAAGCAGTGGTAGACCAGAGGTTATCCCCTCAAGAGTTGAGTTCCAACCACAATGCGTTAAGAACCCTCCAACGGAAGGATGTGAAAGGATAATCATTTGAGGAGCCCATCCTTTGATGATAAGTCCTCTCTCTTTGATTCTTTCTTCGAAACTGCTCTCAGAGATCCACTCATCTAACTCTTTGTATTTCTCCCAACCTCTTATGACCCAAATGAAGTGACTTTTGGATTCCTCTAAGCCTAGCCCAAGCTCCTTGAGCTGAGCCAGAGGCAGATTACAGATGCTTCCAAGGCAAACATATAGCACTGACCTTTCTTTTTTAGAGTCAAGCCATTTAAGGCACTCGTCTTGATCAATGTCTGATTTGTTTCCCCTCTCAGCTTTATCTGCGCCTACCTTGTTGCACAAGGAAACGGGTCCAATGGACCATGATTTACCGGACCTTGCCTCCTTGAAGTCTTTGACATAAGCTGGCTCGAGCTCTTCAAATGTGTTGACTATCACACCATAGGACGTCTTATCCGCTTCTATCATATCCTCCAGCAACTCTTTCCACTCTCCTGCAGGAACATAGGTTTCCACGGGAACTTGAGGTCTTGTAAATTCAACTCTATCAGGAAAATAAGGAACAATGAAGTACTCCTGGTCAGAGTTTAAATTCTCCAAGATCTCACGGTTCTTGCGTAGAAGATGCACACACAGAAGACAAAAGCAACACATGCCATGGAAAAGGATCTTTGGTATTTTGAAAGTCTTGGCGAGTTTGCTTGTGTAAGGCAAACACATGTCAGAAATCAAACAGCTTGGTCGAGGTGTCATCTCTTCCATTAGCTTCTGGACTGGTTCTTCGAGCTTGTTAACCGCATTAAAGAAAGTTGCCATCGACCCCGTCGATTCAATCAAATCAATATTCTCTTGTCCTTTTGGCAAACCAGCTTCTTGATGTGGAAACTTGACTTGCACTAGGTTGATGGGCAAGCCAGACTCGATGGCACGGTTTAGGACGTTCTTGAACCTCGCTGCGTTGTGAGGCGTTGTGATGATTGTTATGGTCACACCACGCTGAGCCAAAAGTCTTGCAATATCAACCATGGGAATCATGTGGCCTTGGGCCATGAAGGGGAAGAGAACAAAGTGAAGTGGAGAATGTGAGTTGTGGCTAGGTTCAGAAGCCATGTCTGCTGAAGTTTTTTTTTTTTTTTTTGGATTGGATTATGAGTGTCTGTGAGCATATATATATATATAGATGCAAAAGAATCGTGAAAAGAAAAAAAATATTTTATTTTTTAGAAACAAAAACTGGATCAATATGACATAAAATCTCGTATAAAATCTTGGAATTATATCGGCCTAATTTGCACTGGACAGTAAGCCAGACCATTAATTTACAGACAATATATCCTTCCTTTTCCGGAAATTTAAAGAAATACATTGAGACTAAAGAAGAAAGATAATCCTCACAGTAAGCTATTACTACAAAGTTCACAATATCTGAATCTGATAATCATCAAAAAAGGAGTAAAATCTACAACATTTTTGGAGATCAAATCTACAGCTGCCAAACTGAACTTAACCATTGTAAGACATGTCTATTTCTACCAGAAGCATCAAAAATCAAAATCAACAAATTAAAGAGCAAAAGATAGGATGAGGCCATGCAAATAAGTAGAAAGAGTTTTACCAAAAAGAACAAAAAAAAATAGAACTCGATCAGTCACCACACCAACTAGTTGGTAATTACGTTTTTGCGGGTTTAAGCGGGCTGGTTCGTTTTATGGCTAGAACCTTTTCAAAAATTTGCTGTTTAGTTTTTCTTTAAATTACAAAAAATATGATTTTTATCAAATATTTATACATAACAAAATACATATATGATAAATTGAGTTGACTAAAAAATCGATATTAGTAAATAGTAAGCATCTCTATTTTAAAACATACAATATATATATCTTTAAAAATTGAAGAGATCAATTCTCATTGTGCTAGTTGCGTTATGTCTTGTATGAAGAATGTGATGTTGGAATGAGAAGAGCCTCCTTCCTCCAAAGCCTTGTGAGCTAATTCTCCAAGTTCTTTGGCTCTCCTTCTTCTATCTTTTGCATCATCACTCTCACCCATTAATTCTTCCACTGCATTCTTCACTCCTTCTTTATCCACCAACACTCCAATTTTCTCCTCTTCTCCAAATTTCATGACCTCTTCAACCCCGACGCTTACACCGACTTTTAGCACCTGCAAGACCAGTTTCTGGTTGCAGAATTGGTCTCCAAACAATGGCCAAGTGATGAGTGGAACACCGGAGGTGATTCCTTCAAGAGTCGAGTTCCATCCACAGTGTGTCAAGAATCCTCCAACAGAAGGGTGTGAAAGGATCAGCACTTGGGGTGACCATCCTTTTATGATAAGCCCTCTCTCTTTGACCCTTTCTTCGAAACCGCTCTCCAAGATCCACTCTGCGAGCTCCTTATACTTTCCCCAACCTCTTATGACCCAAATGAAAGGTCTTTGGGATTTCTCAAGGCCTAGACCGATCTCCTTGAGCTGGACTAGAGGAAGATTGCAGATACTTCCAAGGCAAACATATAGCACCGAACCTTCTTCTTTAGAATCAAGCCATTTATAACACTCATCTTGATTAATGTCCGCCTTGTTTCCCCTTTCAGCTTTGTCTTCTCCTACCTTGTTGCACAAGGAAACGGGTCCAATGGACCATACTTTTCCAGCCCTAGCCTCTTTGTAGCTTTTGACATAAGCAGGCTCCAACTCCTGAAATGTGTTGGCGATGACACCATAGGATGTATTTTCTGCTTCTACCAAATCATCCAAGAAATCTTTCCAGTCTCCGCTTGCGTTTGTTTCCACGGGAACTTGAGGCTTCGTAAATTCAACTCTATCAGGAAAACTAGGAACCAAGAAATAATCTTTGTCCGACTTTAAATTCTGCAAGATCTCGGGATTTCGGCGTAAAACATGCATACACAAGAGATAAAAGCAACCCGTTCCGTGGAAAACGATATTTGGTATATTGAACTTCTTGGCCACTTTGCTTGTATAAGGTAAACACAAATCAGAAATCAAACAACTTGGTCTCGGTTTCATCTCTTCCATGAGCTTCAAGACTGGCTCTTCGAGCATGTTAACCGCCTTAAAGAAAGGAACCATGAACTCCATCGAGTCAAGCGAATCTATATTCTCTTTTCCTTCTGGCAACCCAACTTCTTGATATGGCAACTTCACATGCACGAGGTTAATGGGCAAGCCAGACTCGATGGCACGGTCTAAGACATTCTTGAACCTCTCAGCGTTCTGAGGCGTCGTGACAATTGTTATGGTCACACCGCGCTGAGCCAAGAGCCTAGAAATATCAACCATGGGAATCATGTGGCCTTGAGCCATGAAAGGGAAGAGAACAAAGTGAAGATGAGGATAAAATTGGTGAGGTTTTTCGGAAGCCATGCTCAATGAGGTACATCCAATTTTTGTTATTCTTGGATTGTGAGTTTGTGATACAAGAAGGAGGATAAGAAGAGTGGGGATTAAAAAAAAAGGCTTCACCAAAATGATGTTGTAGATGGCGTAAACACATAAAACTGTTGTATAAAAAAAGGCAGAGATTATTACAATTTACAAGAGGACAATTGTGTGGCCAAGACTTTCTTCCTGTCGTTCTTTTGTGACTATTCTTCGTCTCCTCTCCTAGTGTCAAGTATTTTCCGGAAAAGCTTACAAAGACGTTTATTAAGAATTAAAAAAAAAAAAAATAAGACGCAAAATCAAACTTGACTCTTATAAGACGGCTATTATATCAACCAAAAGCATCAAAAAGTAAAATCAACCAAGGAGGAGAATCTACTTTTCAACCAAGTTGTGAAATTTAAAATCATGTCTTTATAGATAAATCTTTCTCCACATTGTTGTGCGGAACAGAAACTAAAACCAACAAAAGAAGAAGAAAAAAAGTGAAACGACCTTTTTTTATCCCCCCAGTATTTTTAGATGAAAAAGAGAAAAAAAGAGAGGCAGAGATTATTACAAGAGGACAATTTGTGGCCAATACTTTCTTCCTATAGTCCTTTTGTGACCATTCTGTGTCTTCTAGTGTTCAATTATTTTCCGAGAAAGCTTACAAAGACAATTACTATGCCAGCTACTACCAATGCAATCATCTTCCTCTATAGATTCAACTTCACAGGTCCCCCACAAGCAATTTTTTTGTGGCAGCTTTACTCCGTTTAGTTTTTGACTTAAGAGTTTTAAATATCGCCAACAAGCAAAATAAATGAAAAACTGGTGATATGTTTAAATTTATTTGAGACCAACGTAATCATTTATTGGAATTGTGCTACTGTAGTTGCATTATGTCTTGTATGAATAATGTGATGTTGGAATGAGAAGACCCACTTTCTTCCATAGCCTCGTGGGCTAATTCTCGAAGCTCTTCAACTCTTCTTTTTCTCTCCCTAGCATCATCACTATCACCCATTAACTCTTCAACCGCCTTCTTCACTCCTTCTTTATCCACTACTACTCCAATTTTCTCCTCTTCTCCCCATTTCATGAACTCTTCAACCCCAGATCTTACACCGATCTTTAAAACCTGCACGGCCAGTTTCTCATTGCAGAACTGATCTGCAAATAGAGGCCATGTAAGCAGCGGTAGACTATAGGTTATCCCTTCAAGAATCGAGTTCCATCCACAGTGCGTTAAGAGCCTTCCAACGGAAGGATGTGAGAGAATAATCATTTGAGGAGCCCATCCTTTGATGAGAAGGCCTCGCTCTCTGATTCTTTCTTCGAAACCGCTCTCAGAGATCCACTCATCTAACTCTTTGTATTTCCCCGAACCTCTTATGACCCAAATGAAAGGTCTTTTGGATTCCTCTAGGCCTAGCCCGAGCTCCTTGAGCTGAGACAGAGGAAGATTACAGATGCTTCCAAGGCAAACATATAGCACCGACCCTACTTCTTTAGATTCAAGCCATTTAAGGCACTCGTCTTGATCAATGTCTGATTTGCTTCCCCTCTCAGCTTTATCTGCTCCTACCTTGTTTCACAAGGAAACAGGTCCAATGGGCCATACTTTACCGGACCTCGCCTCCTTGAATTCTTTGATATAAGCTGGCTCAAGCTCTTCAAATGTGTTCATTATCACACCATAGGACGTCATATCCGCTTCTACCAAATCCGCCGTGTACTCTTTCAACTCTCCAGGAGTATAGGTTGCCAGGGGAACTTGAACTCTTGTGAGTTCAACTCTATCAGGAAGATAAGGAACAACGAAACTCTCCTTGTCAGACTTTAAATTTTCCAAGATCTCAGGGTTCTTGCGTAAAACATGCATACACAGAACACAAAGGCAACACATTCCATGGAAGGCGATCCTTGGTATATTGAACTTCTTGGAGATTTTGTTTGTATAAGGCAAAAACATATCCGAAATTAGACAACTTGGTCGAGGGCTCATCTCTTCTATGAGCTTCTGGACCGGTTCTTCGAGCAAGATAATCGCTTTAAAGAAAGGTATAGTCAGCTCGTCCGATTCAAGAGTATCAAGATTCTCTTTTCCTTCTGGCAAACCAGCTTCTTGACATGGCAACTTGACATGCACTACGTTGATGGGCAAGCCAGACTCGATGGCACGGCTAAGAACACTCTTGAACCTTGCTGCATTGTGAGGTGTCGTGACAATTGTTATGGCCACACCGTGCTGAGCCAAGAGCCTTGCAATATCAATCATGGGAATCATGTGACCTGGAGCCATGAACGGGAAGAGAACAAAGTGAAGAGGAGAAGATTGGTTGATTGTTTCGGAAGCCATGTCGACTCAGCGCTAATAGGAAGCTCTTTAAGTTTTGTTTTGATATCAGATTGGATCTGTGAGAGCTTATTATATAGATAGTATAAATTGCATGTAGAGCCCGAAAAAAATATAAAAAAATGAACATAAGACGTAATAGATGACGTAAACATATTTTACTTACCAAACACCTCCAATCCAGTCCACAGATTTTTGTTACTACCGATTTAGTCTGTCCTTTACAAGATGAAAATAATACACACTTTACAACAAAAACACATTATTAAACACATAGCTTTTTTCGGTTGGTAAGAATTCTTAACAGACTCGAAACATTAAGATATTCTTTGTCTTTATTTTTTAACTCGTATCTTCTACTGATTCGTCGACGTGTTTGACTAAGACTCAGAGACTCTAATTTAAATTTATCCAATAAACAAAATAAATGGAAAACTGTTTTTTTTTTTTTTGATCAAAAATGGAAAAATGTTTAAATGTTTAAATTTTCTTTAAAAATGACAGTAATATCAATTATTGGATTGTGCTAGTTGCATTGTCTCTTGTATGAGTAATGTGATGTTTGAATGAGAAGAGCCACTTTCTTCGACAGCCTCGTGAGCTAATTCTCCAAGCTCTTTGGCTCTTCTTCTTCTCTCCTTAGCATCATCACTCTCACCCATTAACTCTTCAACCGCCTTCTTCACTCCTTCTTTATCAACCAATACTCCAATTTTCTCCTCTTCTCCCCATTTCATGACCTCTTCAACACCAGCTCTTACACCGACCTTTAAAACCTGCACGACCAGTTTCTCGTTGCAGAACTGGTCTGCAAATAGCGGCCATGTAAGCAGCGGTAGACCAGAGGTTATACCCTCAAGAGTTGAGTTCCACCCGCAATGCGTTAAGAACCCTCCAACGGAAGCATGTGAAAGAATAATCATTTGAGGAGCCCATCCTTTGATGAGAAGTCCTTTCTCTTTGATTCTTTCTTCAAATCCGCTCTCCGTGATCCACTCAAATAACTCTTTGTACTTCTCCCAACCTCTTATGACCCAAATGAAAGGTCTTTGGGATTCCTCTAGGCCTAGCCCGAGCTCCTTGAGCTGAGCCAGAGGAAGATTACAGATGCTTCCAAGGCAAACATATAGCACCGACCCTCCTTCTTTAGAGTCAAGCCATTTAAGGCATTCGTCTTGATCAATATCTGATTTTCTTCCCCTCTCAGCTTTGTCTGCTCCTACCTTGTTGCACAAGGAAACCGGTCCAACGGACCATGCTTTACCGGACCTTGCCTCTTTGTAGTCTTTGACATAAGCTGGCTCGAGCTCTTGAAATGTGTTGACTATCACACCGTAAGAAGTCTTATCCGCTTCTATCAAATCATCCATGAACTCTTTCCACTCTCCAGGAGTACAGGTTGGCACGGGAACTTGAGGTCTTGTGAATTCAACTCTATCAGGAAAATAAGGAACAGTGAAGTACTCCTTGTCTGAGTTTAAATTCTCCAAGATCACACGGTTCTTGCGTAAAACATGCATACACAGAAGACAAAAGCAACACATGCCATGGAAGACGATCTTCGGTATATTGAACTTCTTGGCGAGTTTGCTTGTGTAAGGCAAACACATGTCAGAAATCAGACAGCTTGGTGGAGGACTCATCTCTTCCATCAGCTTCTGGACCGGTTCTTCGAGCTTGTTAACCGCTTTAAAGAAAGGCAACATTAGCTCTCCCATCGAATTGAGCGAATCGATATTCTCTTGACCTTTAAGCAGACCAGCCTCTTCATATGGAAACTTCACTTGCACTAAGTTGATGGGCAAGCCAGATTCGATGGCACGGGTAAGAACGCTCTTGAACCTTGCTGCATTGTGAGGTGTCGTGACAATTGTTATGGTCACACCGCGCTGAGCCAAGAGCCTTGCAATATCAACCATGGGAATCATGTGGCCTTGAGCCATGAAAGGGAATAGAACAAAGTGAAGAGGAGAAGATTTCTTGGTTATTTCGGACGCCATGACGCTAAAAAGGACTCTTAAATTTTTGTTTTGATTTTGGAATATAACTGTGAGAGCTTATATAGATAGAATAAAGATGCTTGGAGAGACAAAAGAAAAAGAAACGGAATACGTAATAGATGACGTAAACAGATTTTGCTTGCCAAACACCTCCAATGCAGTCCACATATTGTCATTACTACAAGACATTCTTGGCCAATTCTTAATTTGTCCGTTTGTGACCATCGTAAATCTTCTAGTGGCCTTTCTTTTCCAGGAAAACTTTAAATTCTTTAAAACATTACAAGAAGATAAAATCCAAAGTTCAAGAAAGCTATATCTACCAGAGCCTCAAAAATAACAATAAACATAAGATGATCAGAGATCCAGTACTATCCTACAACACTTTCGTGTTAATGTTTCTCTCCCGAGTTACAAGATGAAACAAAATACAACAAAACACATTACGACACACAATATGTTACGGAATCGAGAGTTCGGTAGTAACCGGTTGATTATTTTCTTTACTGACTTGGGATCATTGGCCTTTCTAATTTCTTTAATTGTACGTTTATACTTTTTCTCTCTCTCTCTCTCTTCCATCATTAAATATTTATTTCTAGTTAAAACCTTAAAAATATAAGAAATACATTAGTATGTTTTTTCACATGTATTATACACATTATGTAACATCTAACTAAAAATAAATCAACCTTTATAAAAATATACTACAAAATCTAAAGTCACAAAACATGTTTTAATTAATTTTTACATACACATTAAATAAAATGAAGCAAAGAAAACTTATAAAACATGGAGTAAAAAATGGAGCAGTAGATTTTAGATACATGTATTATGATGTATGAAAGAAGATTAAACCAACTTTTTGAAGTTTGACGTCAGAAAGTGAATGCTATCATTGACTTGTCTTCAGCTGATTAGTACACGTGTTTAATATCAATTATTGGATTGTGCTAGTTGCGTTATGTCTTGTAAGAGGGCTGTGATGTTAGAATGAGAAGAGCCTCCTTCTTCCACAGCCTTGTGAGCTAACTCTCCAAGCTCTCTGGCTCTTCTTCTTCTCTCCTTAGCTTCATCACTATCACTCATCAATTCTTCGACGGCCTTCTTCACTCCTTCTTTATCCACCAATACTCCAATTTTCTCCTCTTCTCCCCATTTCATAGGCAGCTCAGCTCCGACTTTCACACCTGCTTTTAGCACCTCCACGACCAATTTCTCGTTGCAGAACTGGTCTGCAAATAGCGGCCATGTAAGCAGCGGTAGACCAGAGGTTATCCCCTCAAGTGTTGAGTTCCATCCGCAGTGCGTTAAGAACCCTCCAACGGAAGGATGTGAGAGGATAATCATTTGAGGAGCCCATCCTTTGATGAGAAGTCCTCTCTCTTTGATTCTTTCTTCGAAACCGCTCTCAGAGATCCACTCAACTAACTCTTTGTTTTTCTCCCAACCTCTTATGACCCAAATGAAAGGTCTTTGGGATTCCTCTAGACCTATCCCGAGCTCCTTGAGGTGAGCTAGAGGAAGGTTGCATATACTTCCAAGGCAAACATGTAGCACCGACCCTTCTTCTTTAGAGTCAAGCCATTTAAGGCACTCGTCTTGATCAATCTCTGGTTTGTTTCCCCTCTCAGCTTTATCTGCTCCTACCTTGTTGCACAAGGAAACGGGTCCAACGGACCATACTTTACCAGCCCTAGCCTCCTTGTAGTCTTTGACATAAGCGGGTTCCAGCTCTTGAAACGTGTTGACTATCACACCATAGGATGCGTTGTCTGTTTCTATAATATCATCCGCCATCTCTTTCAACTCTCCTGCAGGAACATAAGTTGCCACGGGAACTTGAGGTCTTGTGAATTCAACTCTATCAGGAAAATAAGGAACAACGAAACTCTCCTTATCAGACTTTAAATTCTCCAAGATCTCAAGGTTCTTGCGTAAAACATGCATACACAGAAGAGAAAAGCAACACATGCCATGGAAGACGATCTTTGGTATATTGAACTTCTTGGAGATTTTGCTTGTATAAGGCAAACAAAAGTCACATATTAGACAGCTTGGTCGAGGGCTCATCTCTTCTATGAGCTTCTGCACCGGTTCTTCGAGCATGTTAACCGCTTTCAAGAAAGGCATCATCAGCTCCGTCGAGTCAAGAGAATCTATATTCTCTTTTCCTTCTGGCAAACCAGCTTCTTGATATGGAAACTTCACATGCACTACGTTGATGGGCAAGCCAGACTCGATGGCACGGCTTAAGACATTCTTGAACCTCTCCGCATTGTGAGGCGTGGTGACAATTGTTATGGTCACACCGCGCTGAGCCAAGAGCCTTGCAATATCGACCATGGGAATCATGTGACCTTGAGCCATGAAAGGGAATAGAACAAAGTGAAGAGGAGGAGAAGTGTTGATTGTTTTGGAACCCATGCTGATAAGTTTATTTTCTTCTGGTTTTGGATAATATTCGTCAGAACTTATATAGAATAAGATGCGTGGAGAGCAAATAGAAGCTGAACACAAGACGTAATGGATGACGTAAACAGCTTTTACTTGCCAAACACTTAGTTTGTCATCTCCTTTTCAGTCCATCTATTGTTATTACTACAGGACATTCTTGGCCAATACTTAGTTTGTCTGTTCGTGCCCCATCTGGCGTCTTCTAATGACTTTCCTTTACACGGAAAAGAAGATAATTCGCCGACACAAAAACAACTTCTTGGAGGCTCGCCTGATAGCGACATGCCTACATCTACTGCAACTCTCAAGGATAACAATAAATGATTATAAATTATTAATTTTACCCCCAACAATCGATTTTTTTATAAACTTTAAATATTAATTAAACTCCAATTATAAAACAGTACAGAAAAAATATACAACTCCGGACTCTTTCAAGACAGCTATATCTACCAGAAGCCTCAAAAGACACAATACACAAAAGAGGACCAGTGGGTAACCCTACAACACTTGCGTGTAAATGTTTCTTTCCTCAGTTCGATAATGGAGATGACACACTAGCCGCAATTTCCTTACAAGATGAAAAAACACAAACACTTTACAACAAACACACAAACCTGGATGTGTTCCACGTTGCACACTGTACCTTTGGAACCATATATATCGCAAGCGCCCCCAGATTTCGGCAGTAACCGGTTTGTATTCACAAAGACCCCAAAGTCTGTTATTATTTCTTAACAGACTCGGGATCATTGGCTTTTCTACCTGAGTCGGTCCGGTCAAGTCGAGCTCCTCTCCACAATGATGACTTGGTTGATCTTAGTAGTAACCCAAAGGCTGATGAGCATGCCGCTCTCACAACTGAATCTTGTGACCGGGTCATCTTGCTAACCAGCGTTTCAAACACCTGAACAAGAGACAGGCTTGAGAACTTACAGAAACTTATGATGAGCATGTCATTCTGTCATATGTGGTTTACTCTTAACATACCTGTGGGTAGTAGAGAGAGGTTATATGATGATCCTCTGAGAGTGATAGCATGGTGGTGGAGAAGTGTATTGCATTCGCCTGAACAACTGGCCACGGTGCATCAAAAGCCTGCACCGAGTAGTTGTCACTTCAGATTTTTCTTTTTATATATATAATTCATGAACTTAGCAACTATGATGGTTTAGTCGATGAAAAGCCGAACCTGGATAGTTGAGGCCATGTAAGTATCAACCCTTTCCGACTCTTGAACCAAGTGCCTTGAGAGTTCCCTTACGAAGTTTTCATAGTCATTTCTGAAAAGATAAACAGCTTTAGAAGATAAAGGTGGTAATTGTGCACAAAATAGATTTGGTGGTACTCATAGAAGTTAGAACGGCGAGACAAACCTATCGTCAGAGCCAAAAGCACGTGAATCATACAGGGTAGAGTGGTTTTGTATGTCCATGAGTGGAGCAAACCGCTTGAGGGTACCCTACCCAAATAAATACAGAGATGTAGACTCAAAGTTATCTCAAACAAAACAAAACAAAAGAGCAATAGGCTATGAAGAAAATTACCCGACAAGCCTGTCTTATGCTAGCATCGTCGTCATGGAGGTGTACTACCAAGCGAGGAAGAGTAGAATGAATCTGGTATAAACATTTTCATCGAATGAGGATTTAGATGAAAACTGAAGTATCTTCTTCCCTCGTTTTCCATATCATTGAAAAGGAAACGAAAAGGAAAATGTGTCACCTGCTCAACAAATCCCTCCCGTTGCCCTCCAGTAGCATATTTACTTAATGCTCCGAATGCTGCAAATGCACTGGCTCTCATCTTCGGGTCCATGCTAATCTGTTACAAATTTCAATGTTAGTGGCAGAGCACTACAATCAGAACAATGTACCTAACAGTTTAGTGAACTAATTTTGAGTTTTCTTTCTTCCGTGCAAGGTTTAGTCTGGCCTATTAGCTTTAATTTGTGATTTATCTTACATATGTTGCAGTAAACCTTTCAGATAAAGCTTTATTTTGTCTCGTATTTGTTTCAGATAACTTACCTGAAGGTTACGAAGCCGAACAGATAAATTCAACAAGATAGGTTCAACAGCATCATTAGATGCTGACTCTGTGACCTAAACAAAAGAAAACAAGAATATAAAGTTTAAACAAATTGGGTATAGATCTGACAGACTGAGTTCATAGACATTTGAGTTATTAATGGGTCTGAACATTACCATCAATAAGCATGACACAGCAGTTAGTTGCACCGACTCATCCAAATCATCGAGCAACGCTAATATTACACCAATAACTTGCGTTGTGTAGTGGTTCATACAAGCTGATGGCATCTGGCAAAACCCCGAGGCAACTAAGTTATGTATTTAGGAATAATACACTTTGTATAGAAAGCAGCAGAAACCGAATTAAATTTCCCAAACCACATTCTCTAGTATATGTTTCAAGTATTTTTCATAGCATCAAGATGCTATGAATATATATGTGTATAAACTAATTTTACTTAGTCGAAGATAAAACACCTCCATACTTAATGATTTACGGTTCTTTAGATACTAATTGTTGATCTGACATCATTATTATAATTCAACATGAGCATATACAAACTGGCCAACCTACTTGAAGATGAATATAAGGAAATAAAAAAAGCTGCTCTGCATAACTCTTTCTTGGACTAGTCCTCTTAGAACTTCAAGATAGATATTAAAAATGCTCAGAATAACTCTTACTTGCACTAATCCTCTTAGACAAAGGCGCCTTACAGTCGGAGAATCATCTGACACATGTCGGCAGAGTGCTTCGACCATCTCCTCCATTACAGAACTAAAATCACCACTGCAACTCAGAAATGTTAGCAGAGGAAACTTAAGAAGATAAGGTAGTAAGGAAGTGCTTTGTTCCTTTCCCATGACACATGTCAGGCACGATTAAAAATTAAGTTGTGACGACATCGAAAAGACTATACCTGTAGCGAATAAACTCTGACAATGCAGCGGCAGCAGCTTCCCTTTGGAATCTTTGTGGACGGTTTAGTGCTTTCGTTAGAATCATGCAAATATGTCGAACCTGTAACACCCGATAATAATGGTCAAGAGAAAATCCATGATGTCACAATTGACTCAACTAATGAACCGATGATCAATTTGTGAGCTTAACAGCTAGGCTACAAAGACCCTGAAAACACAACTGAAAGCATCCAATAACAAGGTACCTCCTTCGGTCTCTTAATTGAAATGCATCTAGCAATATCGCCAATAAGATCAACCCACTTTTCTTTTTCTGTTTGCTCCCCATTACGAGCCAAAATCTAAGCAAAATACAGGTATCAGTTCACCATACTAGAAACTAAACAGAACCAATTTAATGTTTGAGTCAGAACGTACCTTGCCCATCTCAAAATCACCAACACACTCGCAGAAAGCCTGGAATGAAGTTAGAAGTACTCTGCCAAGAGGGAGTAATGTTACAAAAGTTATACTAATATAAGAGTACCAATCGTTACGTGCCTATACATCTCTTGAAAGGACTTACCGTAATGGATCTTGCTGACCAGAGCTTGCAAGTCCATGACAGCTTCCTAACTGAAGAGTAAGTGCCCCAACGACAGAAGAGTAGCTTTTCTCAACAGCTTTTTTTCCAATTTTTCCGCCACCTCTGGTTAATTGAGTATATTAGCCACCAAAAATGTATCACGTACACACAAGTAAAATTGATCGATTATGAAATAAATGTACCTAAAAAAAGCAGTGAGAGCAAAAATGGCAGCTTGAAGAATATCATCCTCTACATGTGTCTCAGAAGAAGAGCTAGTACTATCTCCCTTATGTGAATCACCTTTAACCAAAGAACTACGATTGAGAACGGATATTAAGTGTTCCATGAACGTGACTGAAAGCTCCGTATGTTGAGAGAAAGCCTGCATCAAAAATTCATCTCGTAAATATCATGTATAAGATTAATTCTATCATAGTTCCAGAGAAAATGGTACTTACGTAAAATGCATCTTGCATTGGCCAGCCACCACGCATCCTAGTTATGTCCTTTGTCACAATGTCCTTTCCAGCAGTAGCCAACACTTCATTAAACACAATCGATGATTGTGTGTTCTCTGCTAGTGCAGAGATCTTCATGTGATTAAGGTAAGCAGTAATACACCAAGAGCATACGAGATAAATGCTGGTGTGTTTTATACTGTAGCAGTATCAGACTTGTGTGCAACCAAATATGCTAACAGAACTAAGTAAAGGATACAGCTCCAATAGCTTCAACACGTAAGTTCTTCTCAGTTATATGAACTGCTGCTGAGAGCAAGGACTGAGTCGTCCTGCCAAAAGAAGAAAGGGAAACAGGATCATCATCACATAACAATGAAAAAACGGACTAAAGCCCATTTGTGACAACAAGCTTTGATGTACCTTGATATATCATTGTCACTAAGCTGACTCCCTCTTCTTGTAACAAACTCAGTAACGGCTTGAATGGCTCCTTCAGCAGATTGCTTGATTTTGTCACAGATAGCTGCAGAGCAATTGTGCAAGGCTGCTACAAGCTACACAACACATCACAACATAATGAGACCTCAACCATCCAATGACACCAGAATTTATACAAAAGAAGGAAGAAAACAAACCTCATCCTCCGTTAAAAGAGCACAAATGGATGAGACTATTCTGTTAAAAACTTCGGATGGATCAATAGAGGCATCCTGAAAGTCGGTTCAGAGAAATCTGACACCATGAATATGAAGTACACAAAAGAAAAGGAGATAAACTCTGAGCCTAAATCAGAAAATACTTACGCTTTTCAAAATGGCAATGACATCCTCAAGGGAAGACAGGGCTTTATAGGAGTCTTCAGAATCCAACCCGCTTGAGAGTGCAGCTTTTGGAAGGGAAAGGGAAATGCTGAAGAACTGGTCAAGAATCTAACAAAAATAATAGTAGGAGAAACCATAAGAAACTATCAATGTCACACTCATATAAACTGATCACCCATCTTACTGTGACACAGTCGATCAGGATAAGTACTAATCAAATTACCTGAGCAGAAATTTTTCGAACTTCAGAATTTGTGTCAGCACAGCGTGGAAGATAGGTTATGACCCTATCTCCCAAACACAACACCTCACGGTCAGGAAATAAAAATACCGCTGTTGGTCAAACAAAGGAAATTAATTAGCTGGTGGATAATGTATGGATAAATAAAGAAATCAATAACAAATTGTTTAAGGACATCTTCATACATGGTAGGTTTGAAAAATTCCCCTGCATACTTCGGTCTACAAACTTCCTATGTGGGCAATCCCCAGAACAACCAAGAGCACAATAACCGGCAACACATAGCTTGCGAAACTTTAGAAGCATCTCATGAACTGCCACGCAACCTCGTTTTCTTTGGTAATCAATGGGTGACGAAACATATTGATCAAGCTGTCTAAGCAGATGCAAAAGCTGCTCAGCTCGACTTCTGCCATCCTCTCCACTATTTCATGCACACATATCATTGAATTAGCGGGGAAAAAAGTACTTCAAATGTGATATTACTGCAAATCCACTAACATAATCATTGATTCTAATCTAACATAAGTAACATCTAAGTTATGCAATGTGATATAAACAGATCAAATGAACTTGTAAGAGGAAACCAATTAGAAATTGTGTCTCTGGGAAATGTAAAGTACTATAAATAGTTAAGAAGAAACCTAAACCATGTAAAATGTTATTTTAAAAAATTTCATCGACGGCTTCAGTTTTTGAGGAATCTAGTGCCTCATAGAAGCTGGGTGACTTTCAACTTGTCAAGTAAATACCTTGTAAGGAGGATGGCACACAAGAGAGTCACAAGATTGTCTATAAGGGGACTGATGACATCTGATGGATCATTAGGCAAAGCAAAGAATCCCAATGTAGCCTGTCCAAGAAACGTTCATAAATTCAAGAGAAAATATAGATAGATAACAAACAGCATTAATCTCATTCTTTTCTTTTTTAAACTCGGTTCAAACCAGAAACTAATCACCTTCATGACACGATTTCGAGTTTCAACTGTCAGCTTCGGTTCGACAGAGACCAGGGTTGTGCAGGCATTCAGAGCAAGTGCCTGAACAAGATTTTAGTCAGAAAGAGAAATGGTATCTGCTTGCTTGAAAGAAAAGCCTCATGGTATAGGTTCTTGCAGTATATTATCGTACCTGAGTGTGTAGAAGCTCAAGACTAGATTCTGCAAAACCTTCATTTTCATCTCGACCCATCAAAGTCAATATATAATCAAGCATCGTATCTCTTCTTTTCAGTGGGAATTTAGCACCACTTTCTGAAGCATTTATGACAGCACGACCTTCACACAAAGAGACAAGAGATCAGGGTCCTATATACTCCCACGATTTCCCTAGCATTATATCTGAACCACGTGGGGCGTTGTAACTTAAAAGAAAATCTCAAAGAGAGAAAAAAAATAACAGACATCGCAAGAACGATTCCATCATCTACGTTTTTAACGCCATACTAACCTAACAAATCAATAGCAGTTATAACAGCTTGCTTTGCTGTTTGTTGCCGCACATGAAGAAGCCTTGAAAGCATATTCGTGCCCTGCGGTACACAAAAATGAAATATGATTAATAAAATTGGTAATTGAAAAAGGAAGTGGTGCTGTAAATATATAACAAGGTCTCTACAATGTACCATATACCACTGTTTGGTCACATAAAACTATTCAGACATCCAACTTTTAATACGATATTTAGCTTTATGAGATGAGTTTTCGTAGCATGTGACTCAATGTCAATATGAAGCATAAGTTTAGAACAGGTCGTGGAAGACTATAATATAAATAGCAATCCGATTTTAAAGAAAGTTCAAAGACATACCACAAGTGCATCTATTCTGGCCTCAATAACCGACGAGGGGGCATATTTCGCAGCATATCCATACATCAAAGCCAAAGCAGCATGTATATCATCACTGTCTTCTGTTTTATAACTCTCAGAGAAGAGAGACAAGATCCTAGAATTGACAGAAGAAAGTAAGTAGTAGATTCTAAAAATGAGTGGCAGAAATGCAGGCATGTCAAGATTTTAACACTAGCAAGTGTAATGATTTTATTAAGTCAGGCAAGATAAACCTTTGGAAAATACTCTGCCCAACATTATCCAAAATAACTTTCAGCTTTTCCAGAACAGTGTCCAAGTGAGAAGCCGCGACCTATACAGTCACTAAGCATATTAACAGAGGCTGGAAATCAAGATCTGAGAGAGAAAAAGACAATGTATACTCAAAATACCAGTCCCATGGCCTTGGCTAAACCAAGTCTATTAGCAGGTATAGAAATGTCAGCCTGTTCGTAAATCCAGTCAATCTTGTCACGAACATATGCTCTATCATTAACTTTCTGGAGAAGTATTCCCATGCACCTGAAATCAAAGCACAGCAGCTTTACAACACAGTTCATGCTCAATAATCAATATAAATACAGTCTGCTATAAACTGGAGTCTATGAGCAGCTGTCGGAGACGATTTAAAATTTATTAGGCATCTATCAGGATCTAAGAAAAGACCAACAAGAAGTAGAGCTACTTCAATCAGAGACCAGAACAAAATGAAAAAAACAAGAAGTTTTTACCGGTGTAGTAGTGCTGCATGGTCATCATCCGGAGTATAAAGAACGTATTGTTTTGCAAAAGCATTTCCAAGAGATATAACCCAGTCAGCATCCTGGGTGACATCCAGTGATTCTGCTAGAAACTGTATAATAGAATTATGATTAGGCGTAATACATGCAAACATGATTAGACGTAATACATGCAAAAAGCTTGATTGGTCAAATTAATATTTTAAATTGTCTTAAAGTTAGGCTTTATAGAAACTTTAGCTCAGAATGATTTTTTCTTTCTTCACGCCAGTTGAATAAGCTTACATTGATTATCATGTCATCCCAATTTTCCTGGTAACATGGATCGAACTTGAGATCTTCTGTGTCAAAGACATACGCCTTCATTTTTGGAATCTAGAGCTTACCAAATGTGATTAATAATTAGGGTCATATCTTCAAGAAATATGATGCAAAAAACAAAGATACTAGGAATCTACGATGCAATCTGATTATATCTCGCTCTCTAGTAGCTGATTGAATTACTGGAATAATATTTTTAAAAACTAGAGCATACAGCAGTGTACCTCATCTTGCCAAAACATGCTTATGTTCTTCGGAAATAAAGGGGACAGATAGCCAAGGACCTTAATGAAGTAAGAACAGAGCAGTTAAATAAAGACAGAACTTGAAAAACCCAATATTCTGGTTAGAGAAGATGAAGAAGAGGAATGGGACATAAAATGTGAGTCTACAACAGGAATTTCTGAAGTTACTGACACATACCGTCAAAATTTGGGTTGCCAACTGCTCTTTTGCCAGAGGGTTGTGCAAAAGAACCACCAAACGGGTAAACAACTCCTGCATTTATAATATATGTGCATACGTGTTTCAATTTTGAGATCTTACCATACGCAACAAAACTTATAGATCATATGACAGGGCATGATAACAAATTCACCTCAGGGCTAGGAATATCAGCACGAGCTTTACACTCAATCAACATGGGGGTAGTTGAAGATCTACGACGACACAGTTCAGATATGCATCTACAGACCTATCAATACTAGTGTTAAGCCAGGTCTAATCTCTGATTAAAAAAATTTTAGATAAAGTCAAAATAGGCAACAAAGAAAGATCTTACTGATGCAACAGCGCCAGTGTAAACCCTAGGGATAATCATTTTCAGTAGGAAAGGCCAAAGAATGTACTGCCATTTCAAATCCTCTTTAGCATTAGAATCTGAAACTTTTTAGTAAATGGGATAATTTTTTAAAAAAGAAAGCACCTCCATCTCCGGGATTGTAACGGTCAAGAGAAGAAGACCTTTTCCACAGACTGCTCTTAGCTGTGTTGGACTAACTGGTTCCCCTTTTGCCTACGAAAAATATTTAATATCTTGTAAACATATTATTCGTCAAGAAACAAAGTATTTTTCCTCTTCCTTGTCACACCTTATTTTGTACGTAATTCATTATGTTATCTGGTTTTACCTTCAGATTGTCAATCTCTCCTATTGCGGCATGGCGTACAAGGTATTCGACAAATAATTCCCCAGATGGACCGACCAGATAGCAATGTGAAGCCATGACCACGATCAACTGTCATCAAAGCAGAAGGACAAAATCAATGGGCATGCAAAATCATGCATATTTTAGTAGTAAAATACAACAATGTATGCCATTTCAGTACCTCTGAAAGAGCTTTTCGAACAGATAAACTTTGCTCATCTAACAAAGACCTTGCAGCATCAACCAAAAGAGGCCGTTTTGGGTGCCAAGCTTCAAATAACCTCCGAACGCAATACATCATCAAGTTGAAGTTAGAAATAAACTCTTAAGTTAATTCATTGTACTGATGAAGGATAAAAAATACACCTCGGAAGCAGATGTTTTAAGACAGAAAGAGCACCAAACGTCAAAGGGTCTTCTTTCAACTTGCATTTCTGGTGAAAATATACGAGGACAGGGATTTTAAACTTCACTTCAACATAAATAGCCAGTTTAAAGTATCACATAGAAGCATGCCAGGGAATTTTTTTTGTCTCCTTACGCTAAGAAGAAACGTAAACAAGTCTTCAGGGTAAACCAAGCCAACAGTCAGAAAACACCGCTGCACTTCATTGTATGCCTGCAACACAAAGATAAAGAACAGGCAATAAATTCATACACAGCTCTCCCAAAATAAAAGGCTACCGAAATGAAAGAGACCTCAAACATTCATAAACCAGCATGTTGCAGTAGCAACTTACCTTCCGTCCCACTGAAAGACCTGAGCACCTTTTGCTTTCATTACTAAAACTGATCACAGGAAGAAGTGTTGACAGAACAATTGTAAGGTCCTGAAAAGAAACAAACTTAACTGAAATACAGCATAACATGTTTCTTATCCTTCCAATTCCCATGCATATAACTATCACCGCATCACATCCAAAAAACGGTTGTCACAGATGATTGTCGTTGATGAGGCACCTTAGCAATAAGAAAATGATAGAAACACCATTACCTCAAAATCTAGCAGTGGAGGACCAGACTCCGAAAGTAACGAGGCATTTAATAAGTTGTAAAGACTACATGTCGCCAAAAGAGCATCGTCATGATCTTTCTTATACCTAAATATAGAAATGAAAGGAATGAATAATCGCTACATTTAGAATTAAAAAATAAAGAGAAGTCTACACAAAAAGCATCGCATGTATTGGTACATACTTCTTTCTAACTTAAAAAAGCTTTAATTTGTGGGACAATATAACAAGCAGACAGCGAATTTACTATGCTCTGGGCCTTTGAGTATTAATGGTTGAGATAGAAAGAAAATTAGAACCAAAAACAAAACTTACAGTTCAAGTATTGCTGGAATAAGCCTTGGTAATGCTGATTTCAGTTGTGTCCGCGAGATAAGACCAACCATTTGACCCAGAGCCTCTACAGTTGATACTCGTACCTTATTCAGCATAAGATAAGCAACTAACTAAGCACATCTTAAATTCAAGAGTCATGTCTGAAGAACAACCGACTAGCAAAATCTAGCACATATATCTCTTTGTATAGTGAATATCAAAGAAACAGTACAGGTGGAAATGTACCAGAATATAAACTTTTTTTTATTCTTTGATATTACAATATAGTACGTTACTCTCATTCTTCTTCATCTTTAAAATAAAAGTAATATAACGGTCTGTGAACAATTATAAACCATATGCTTACCCTGGTTATCTCTTGAAATAATATCTTTTTAAACGGAAGATGCAATAGATATTAACAGCTAAAGTGGAGAATAATACTAATAGAGATCATGGACTCACCTTATGATCTCGGGAAGTTGCCCAGACTCTCAACAACAGCTCAAAAACTGAATTTAGAAAGGACCTGCATCGGAAAAATCCCTTGAGTTGAGTGCGTTATACACAAAGCCTAGCAGAGTAAAACAGAACAAAGAGAGTGGACTCACATGACATCGCTGTCAAGAGGAGAATCTGAGGTAAGATCTGTGATGTATAGCCACACTGCCTGAGACCAGCACTTAAATGCTAGACATAAAATCAAATTCATATATGAGACGAAATAAGAAAGAGAAAAACAGTGTGGTACTAGAGACAAGCTAGTTTTTTTCAAATATACAGGCTCTTCCTTGTGTTCGTTACTAGCACACATGCAAATTGCATGATATGTATTTATCATCTCTTCTATTATTTTTTTCAGAGATGTACAGACCAACAAGTTAATATCCTACTTTTCTGTTACTAAGAATCAAATTTACTTATTGGTTCAATAAATGAATAAACTCTGACATGTAGGCCAGATTGAAAACAACTAACCACATAGTAGAGAATACAAAAAAAAATACAGCTTATAGGATACAGGATTAAAATTGGCACCTTCTAAAAGAATTTCACTACCTCATCGAAAACAGATCATAAAAGTGTTAACTGTACCATTTGCAAATATTGGTCGGTGTACATCCCGAACATTCCCAAGAATAGGCGAAACCCTTGAAAGTACTCCTTTCAGGCGTGGAGTGAACTGCAAAGCTTCAAAGAAAATATGAAAGTACTTCAAAATATCAGAGAACTGCAATTTCCATAAACGTTTCAATGTAAGAAACAAAAAAAAGGAACGCAGATGAGAGTTAGAAATTAACCATCAGATGAGGCAAAGTCGGCAAGAATTTGAACCATAGCAGGCGAAGCTGAAGCCGGACCAGACAGATGAAGAAATATTTCTTCCATCATCTGTCATGTCGATTAAGAGAAGATCAAAATTAGACTAAAAACAAATAACTTGAACTTTATCCAACAACAAACAAAAAAAAAACTTGGTGAAAGAAAATCAGGGCCAACATCTACTGGAATAGGCTGCCATCTACCCCATAAATGACAGTAGAGAGAAAACGGACCAGCTTCATTCATGACACTATCTAAAATGCCTCAACTCAGAAGCTAACATGATGACAGAAAGCCTGTACTATGGTTTTCTCATCAGAAACTCATCTTGTGTTGCAATCTACTAAAGTTAACCACCTACTTCAGTATACTGGTCATTCTTCAAAATTAGTTTTACATATATGCGTAGCGCAAGAAGTAAATCCAGATTGTAATGCATCTCATCACCGATCATGCTGTACAGTAACCCTCTTACAACAACCTTTTGTCTATGCTCTAAGTAAAGGCAACACCCTCAGAGATGTACAGTCACATGGAACTCAACAAGCAGCTGTTTCTTAATGTCAAGAAATCCCCCCCTTTGAATTAGCAAAAAGGAAAGAAAATTAAAAGACTTACCAGATCAGGAAAATGTGTTCCAATTGAAACAAGAAGCCCTGACGCTTGCCTTTGCCAATCAGCATTTAGTTCCTACGTCATGATGAAAGATACTAAAATGATCAAGAAACATATACTGTACGAACAATGCGAGAAAGTTTGTAAGAATTGCAATTCGTTTCCCCTGTTTTGTCTAGAAATTTATTAAGCTATTAAAGTTTCAAAATTGCATCTACAAATCCAGCTTCAGTATGTAAATCTGTGTCACTATACTAAGGCTTAAAAAAAATCTTTTAACAATGGTTCAGCTTTCACAACACACCTTGGAAGATATTATCTCAGCTGTAGCAATCTTAGCAAGTTTTCCCATGAAAACTTCATCACTCTCCCCTTTCTCTAATGCTCCAACACTGAATGCCATTACTTGAAAAACCCCAGCCATGTTACCAAACCGCTGCAACACCGAGTAGCACCAGATTTACGCACCGGTTAAAGCAAACCAAAAGATCGAAGAAAGGAAACAAGCAAACGAAACGTTACCCTTCTTCCTCCACGTGACACAGCATAGCAACAATCAAGAACCAGAAGCGGATTCCTGAAAAAACCCACACACAAGAGCTCCAGTATCAGAGAGATCTCCTAAAACTCACTATGCATGTCTTGTGTATGAAGTCAAAGAGAAAAAATGGTACGTACAGCGAGGCAATATCTCTCAGGGAAGCCATTGAAGCTTCTCTGACCACAGAGGAATCATCAGCTAGAGAAGACACCAGAAGCTGAACAGCCTCTGCCAAAAAAACGTTCAAAATTGAAACTTTTGAATTTCTTAATCAGACTTGATCAGGAAAATAGCCATTGCCACAACAAATGTTGACCCAATTACATAATTCAAAAGTCTCGATCAAACAATACACCGATCAACTGAGGTAAGAACTCGAAAAGGAAAAGAAAAAAAAAACGAATTTGAAGATTCTGGAAACTGTTACCTGGCGCGGGGATTGAGCTCCCCAGACTTGAAGAAGCCATTCAATATCGATCAGCTCCACCAAAATCCAAAACCCAGAATCTGAATGTCAAAATTCGACAGTTGTGATCGATCAGAATTGTTCCGGCAGAGAAGATTCGAACGTTGTGACCGGACCAAGAAGTTTCCGACCGAGAAAGGAAAGCTCGGGCAGTTATATAATTTGCGTCGCCTCTTCTCGGAGGACTTGAAAGTTAAAAAGAAAAATGTTTGGGGAAGAAAACAAATATATGAAACCAATTGAGACGATGGACCCATGCCCGACAAGCCGGGTCGGGTAAATATCGGGTATCAAGCCCGTTGCTTTTGTATCATGCCCTTGTTCTATAGTTATTATTAGATTGAGAAAGAGCCTCACATTATTGGCCCAATAATTTAGCGGTGCTGATTGAAAATTAAAATGGAACCGATTCAAACCGAACCAGTTTCATCAATCTAAAAATCCGAACCAAAACTTATTATATAAACCGTATAGAAAACTTTATCTCGAATTATCTTCGATGAATTGTGTTTAGCAATTTGAAATTAAAATTGTTTTGAAGTGACAGGCTCAAAAAAGGTCAAGGTCGAATTTGAAGTGAAGAAAAGGTCAAATGATTTGAAGTGATTTGAAGTAAGCTAGAGACGAATGGAAAACCAAATACAGCCCAAACTTATTAGCTCAAAAACATTAAGCCCAAACACATTTAGAAACTATTAGATATAAGTCGAGATTTGTTTTCAAATGAATAAAGTTTTATATATAACCATAAATTAACCAACAAACCAAATCATAGAAAGTTTTGTAAAAAAAAAAAAGTAAAAAATTGAAGTAAGTCTCAACATTATAGCTAACAACAATAGGGTGGAGCCGCAAACCAAATATCACAAACCGCCTAGAACACTAAACCCAAAATATATTAAAATTTATTAGATACCTAATTAATTATCTAAAAAAAAATTGTTTTGCACAATCATGTGATTTTATCTTAGATATCAAATATCCTTTTTAAAAACATAATTTCTTCATAATTATTTTAAATATTAAATTTATTTTTTCATTTATATTCTTTATTAAAATTTTATTTATGGATTTGCTCGATGATTTTCGGATACAAACATTTCGTTTCCTTAGATTTTTAATATGTTGAACATTATAGAGATCTGAACATAAAAGTTGTTTCTCAAAAGCTAACTTTTGTTTCAATTGTTAGCTTCACATTTTTTTTATTAGTTTTGAAGAGAATTTGCACAAATGTTGAATATGCCAAACATATGTTATGTTAAATCGATTGACAGAATATTCTGAGTATAAAGAAAAAAAATATGCTAGATCCAAACTATTAACCCTTATCAACTTTTGTTTTTTATCTTCAAAGATTTCATGGAAATAATGATCCATCAACGCCCACAATTATTACCTTATCAAAATCACTATAATGTAATTCTAAAATTGTAATACTGATGGGCAACAATGGCATTCGTTGGAAAAGATCACCATCGTTATTCTTAAATTTCCAAAAAGTAAACTCATTTGATAAAAAAAATTAAACTTCACTAGAAATCCTACTATTTAGTTTAGTTTATAAATATATTATTATATGTCAACGTGATTTTTAAATCTTACGATATGAAGTCACTAAAACTATTATTTAAGTCAACAATAATGATGTGAAAGTTTTTTTCTTATTGGCCGGCCGGATGGATGAGACTGGCCGGTGTGGATTGTAGTTCGCCGACGTAATATCTAACAAATATTATTTTGTTTTTCTTTGTATTGATCTTCTATTTTGAATTGTTTTGTTCTTCTTTTTTTTTGATCTTTTATCTAACATCTTCTGAATACGTAGATACACACTTTCAAAAAGAATTGACGATGTATATCCTCTATATATTAAAAGAGAAGCATTTTTAAAGAATAATCTTAATTTTGTAAAAAATTACAGTGGTGCCATTTTGCTTATATGTCATCACCAGAATTATTTTCGGCAAAGTTATAAAAATAGACTTATGTTACTAGATTAATTACATGTTATGCCACTCACATAAATTTGGTTATACATTAGTTTATATCAATTATATTGATGATGATTCATCAAGATATTCTCTTTTCCATTTTTTACCAAAAATATATCATATTAATTATTTATTTAAATACTATATTTTATCTTTTGTTTTTTAGGAAAATAAATCATCACATCATTCATATAGTAATATATATACTTTTCTGTGTTATAATTCGAATTTCATAAAAAAAAATATAAATTACTCAAATGATTAATAAATAAAAGTATGTTATGAAAGACTAAAATTTAAAATAAAGATGTGTAGATAGATGATTCATAAATCAATACAAAAATACATAAATGATAAAAAAAAAAACAAGAAGCTTAATTTAATAGATATTATTATTATAATTATTTTTGGTTTCATATGGTTTTAAAACCATATAAATTAACCAAATAATATAAATATTTAAACTTTATAATAAGTACAAAATACTAATAAAAAGTTGAACTATAAAAATAGTTGAATATGTTAATAGAATATAATATTATAAATATTTTATTTGATTAAAAAGTTAAATATCATAAATTTTGAGTTTATACAATAAAATAACTTGGTAAAAAATTAAAATATTTTTGTAAGGATATTATATAATAATTTTACTAAACTTTTTTATATTAAAATATTTTATTGAATCAAAAAGTTAAGAATGTAGAAGTATTGACTCAGTTATATACAATTTTAGATAATTTATTAAAAATAAAAAAATATAATCTATTTTTATATAATCTTTATGTATATTTAAATAAATTTCACAGTATTTTTTTGTTAAAAGTTAATATTCTTGACTATAGTTTTTGCGGATTAATCTAAATATGCATTCACATTCGTATAAGAAATATTAAAATCGATTATAAAATTTTATAATCAAATTTTATTTTTAAAATTCTAATACTCTCTATTTCCAAATATAAGTTGTTTTGCATCAAAGCACAAAGATTAAAAAACAACTTTTCTTTTAAAAAAATAATCATTTAGTATATAAATTAATTATAATTCAACTAATTATGAAAAACTGAAAAATATAATCGGTCAAATAGTATTCATAGGAAGTAGAAAAAAAAATAAAAACAATTATATTGTGAAACAAAACAAAACCTTAAAAAAACTAATATTATGAAACAAATTTTATTTTTACAATTTTAATACTCTCTATTTCAAAATATAAATTTCTTTAAAAATGTAATCATTTAGTATATAAATTAAATATAATTCAACTAATTATGAAAAACTAAAAAACTATAATCGGTCACATAGTATTCATAGGAAGTAGTAAAAAAATGAAAACAACTATATTGTGAAAAAAATAAAACTTTAAAAAAACTAATATTATGAAACAGAGAAAGTAGTAAATTTTTATTATCATAACGCATTAGATACTTAATAATTTAATCAAAATATACTCCCTTTATTTTTTATTTTTTTAATTTTAAGATCATGTTATTAAGGTTATAAAAAATATAAAGAGTGATTTCGTATTTCTATTCAGATTGCGCATATATATTTAATTTTTAAACTAATTTACATTAGAATTAAATTATCCTATATTTCATAAAATAAACAAAAAAAAATATTTTGTCAATATTGCACCATAATGTTATAAACAACTCATATAAAATTAATTGTATTTTGCTATATGATTTTAAAATTATATTATATTAAATAAATAATTATTATTTTACCCCGCACAGGGTGCGGGTTATTACCTAGTTAATTTATATACGTAGATACACTTTTGTTTGGTTTTGGTTTGTTGAGCTTCATCCTCTGTTTCTCTTCGATTAATAATAATTCCCAGTGTTAAAAAACCAATAAAAGTACTAAACCAAACAGTTAAAACATATGCTTTGTGACAATTATCATCCGATCTACTGGGCTAAACCAAACTATACTTTCGAAGTTACATGGTTTACTTTTTGGTTAAATTGGAATAATCGTAGATAGCTCTCGTTATTCACAAGATGTTACAAAGGCTCCCGTGGTCCAAAAGTAAAGGGTTCATATGCGATAGCTAAGAACTGTTTGTCTTTCAAATAAATAATTACAAATCACCGTGTCACCAATTAATAAATGTTGGCTTTTTAAAAAAACTGAGGAATTGCTGAAATAAAAAGAAAAAAATATTGATTTGGTGGTTCATATACAATGTATAAATTATACATATATAATCTGATACATATTAATTTTCACAGAGAAATTGTTTAATCTTAATGATTAACTTACAGCACTTGAATACAATAACTACACCGACCACAACCCCACAATTCACAAAAGAGAGATAGAGAAAGAGAAAACGAAATGCTTAAGCTCACCAAACCTAATCATTTTCATAATTATTTAAGTAGAAAAAAATAGTGTAGGTCAAGATGATGAACATCTAATGATCTTGTCAACTTCTGATAACTTTTATAGGAATTTAACAAGGCTTTTGGGGGAAAATACATTTTCACAGATTTATGTAACGTTATCAGAAGTTGCCTTGTTAAATTCCTATAAAAGTTATCAGAAGTTGACATGATCACTAGATGTTCATCATCTTGACCTACACAGTTAACTGTTCATTACTATTGTGGGTAAGCTACTATATATATATATATATATATATATATGTGTGTGTGTGTGTTTTGGAGAATGATATATGACACTGAGAAGAAAAATCTGGAAGGCTCACGATAAAACGATTGAGTAGGCTATACGTAAGCATAATGCATGACATTTGATGTGCGCCATCAATATTCATTAATGCGATCAACCCTCAAAAACAATGGAGCCGCCTTAATTACAATCCATCCCGTTCTACGTAATTCTATTATAGTACAACTTTATGGCATCACAGAAAAAGTTTCACATGTTTTTCACAAGTCACAGCAGCTATTGTTTGAAAGAGATGATAGAAATAATTTTTTTGATAGAGACATTTTAAGATATCCAACTTCAGCCCGTGTTATGTGATAGGACTAGTCCAACTTTTCTATATAATTTGGTTGTGGTATTAGAAGTTTCACTAAACACAGACAACTCATGTAGATGTATGTTTCATGTGTAAACAAACACTTAACAATAAGCCAATTGCTTTTAAAATCCTTCCAATTTATATATAAAAAAATATTAGTTAAATTTAACAATAGGCAATCGCTTGAAATGGTTTGAACTATTGAAAAATGTTCTCAAACTATTTAAAAGATATGACTGTATATATAATATATAATATTATAAAGTTTTGTATA